TTTTTCGTGCGTCGACTGAGGATACGAATGACGCGACGGATTTCCTCCTCTCGGCCAATGACCGGATCGATCTTGCCCTCCCGGGCCAAGGCTGTCATATCAATGGTAAACTTCTTGAGGTTCTCATTTTCGCCTTCGGCATCGGCAGTCTTGGAGTCGACCCGCTTTGTACCACGAATTTGTTGGATGGCATTGTCGATCAACTTGAGGTTGGGGATATTGGCATCGCCCAAGGCACGCTGAACTTGTGAATCTTGGCAGACAGACTGGATGAGATGATCCACAGCAACGAAGCTGTCTTTTTGGGTTTTCGACAAATCGGCGGCTGATCGAATGACTTTGGAAAGTTGGGGAGAGACACTAGGGTTCTCTGGAGGAGGGTCTTGACTGGGTAGGCGGACCAGCAACTTCATCAGGGATCGGTCAAGGAGCTGAGAGTCACCGTGAGCTCGGTCGACCACTTGGCGGAAGAGAGGGGCGGTTGATTCATCGTGGGAGGCATGGGCACCAGAAGGAGTCTGTTGATCTTTGGACTCATCTGGGGAGGGGTTGAGCAATGCAACTGCCAGGTGAAGTGGCAGAATCTGGGACTGAGCATATTGCTCACAGAGGCTGCTGGAGTCCAGCAAAGCCTTGTTGGCTCGATCTGTGAACTCGACGCCGTTCATTTTGAACGGAAGTGTGGGGGTAATGTCAATAGGTGTGAAGAGGCTAATGTATCGAGAGATAGGATATTGGTGTAGTGTTATCACAAGAGTGAGTAATTGAGCAAGTAAACTTGAAGAATATGCAGCCTGAAACACGATGATACAAGTTCATATATTCCTGGCGCATGGGATGCCCGAAGCTGCCACCAGATCCATGGCGTCACTACTGGGTTCCACCGCCTTCCAGAAGCTGCCTGACGTTGCCTGACGTTGCCTGACAGTGCCGAGGATCACCCCTAGGCACCGGAGAAACTATTATTCCGGAGTGATCACGGACCACATTCATAGTGTAGCATGTCACTCTCTATTGAGATACACTCGATGACACTTACATTCCACCATACCCATATACCCCATAGTCAGTCGATTACCACTTTACTATACAGGGCAACCGGTCACCCATTCCACTATAGTTAGTCAATTACCGCCTTATTGCATAGGCAATATCACTTTGGCAGATAAGCCCATGGCACGTGATCAAGGCCCACGTGAGGTCCACGCGACATACACGTGACCTTGGTTTGCTGACCTCATCCTCAATCTGAGATGAGGTCAGCAAGTTCGGATTAAATCGCGCAACCGAGCAAACCAACAACCCTTGAATGTCCTGGTGCTCCACGTTCGACACATGATTCGGCCTTGATGCTATTGTGGCGGGTTCTAATTTGAGCTTGCGTGCCTTGCAGTGGAGTATTGAAACAATTCAGATCCACCGGCTCCGTCCCGCCAAAATCAAGGTGTTAACAAAACCTATAATGGATCCTACAATGTGCCACTGACGCTTGCCCGGGCACTTTACAGCCAGCTCCGGCAATTTCATAGGGCCTCTACTCTTTCTATCCGTCGCCTACGATTTATATCGTGTTCCACGATACCCGACAGAAAATGCCCCACGGTTAGTGAATGACGTCAGGTGGGATATACCCCTCAGCAATGAGAATCCAAAGAAATTGATCTTGAGCCTTGTCCAGGATCAGACCCTCCCTGCAAAAGCATCTCCTCCAATTCGGCCGAGTGATTTCTCTCTCGATTGGAATCATTTAGGAAATCAGATTTTCACCTGCATAGAAGGGGAGTATGGTCTCAGGTGAGGAGCTCGAACACGACTTGGACCGTGGATGGTGGACACTTGTTCCAAGCTGGCGCATCCAGAAAGATCGATTCATGCAATCCACAAGTTTTTATTTTTTCCATTGGCTGTTCTCCATGTAGATTTTTTCTACAATTGTCTAGGCTGGAGAGAGAGAAAAAAGAAAATAGAAGCTGAAAAGGTTCCAGAGAGGGGCAAAAAGGCTTTGTGGCGTGCATTTGCTTGGAATGTAAGGCTTCGAGACTTCAATACCAGACTCCTACACTGTAGTATGCAGAGTACCTATATGCTGTACCAGCCTACTAAGAGGGGTGCCTATGTATAACTTCGTATCTGACTGAATAGATCGGCAATCCAGTCTCGCATCCCCATAATAATTGAATATTTCTTATTTCTTATCTCATATTTTTCTTTTCCAACTCTCCGCTTCCCGAGGCTCCTTTAAAAAAAAATTAAAAAAAGCCTGTTATTAAACGTGGTACCTATGTCATTCGTAGAAAAGAATTTCAACCCTCCCTTTATTTTATTCTCACGCCATAGTGATTGCAGCTGAGACCACTAAGAAGCTCTCACATTCGCTGATACCCTTGTTTGAGCACGCTAGCCAAAGACATTGTCTGTCTCGGAACCTCAGTGGCTAGATTTGAATTATCCTTGCGTTAATTGATCAGAGGCTTGATCCACTGCAAGGTTATTTACGATTACCTTTGGGTGATTTGACAAAGTCTGTCGATTGCAGTTTTATCGGCCAATATCATCCTCGACATACAAGTATGTCTGACAAGCCGATCTTTGTGGCTACGCATCCACGAGCATGCTCGACAGCCTTTGAACGAGTAAGATATTCTAGGGTATTCCAAATACTTTCATTCCAAGATATCTAACAGGCTACAGGTCTTCATGACTCAGCGTGATACTATTCAATGTGTCCACGAGCCATTCGGCGATGCATTCTACTACGGCCCGGAGCGCCTCTCTAGCCGATTCGCAGGCGATGAACATGCACAAGAACGCCTGGATAGTGGATTTGCCGATTCGACATACAGTACCGTGATGGAGAGGCTCGAGCGAGAAAAAACTCAGGTCCGACCCTTCTTTCTGCGTTGGAATCTCTCGCGTTCTTGCCCATCCCCCTCGTAAATGCTCTTCACGTTCTCCCCTGTGGATCGAACATGAGGGAAGACTCCTTACCTGTTTCCATGTTTGTTACTTTGCATCACAGACGGTGCCCAAGGCAATCTGTTCCCCCTTTCCCTCTTCAAACTGTAGATCACAGAATTGCGCCGAAATATTGAATGACCATGGAGATCTGCGAGGCGGAATGAAATCTTTGCACTTTTCGAAGGGATACTTACCTTGCCACAGGGAAAGAGAATCTTCATCAAAGATATCGATCACTACCTGCTTCCACCGAGTGGCCAGCCCGCCAGCATCGCTCCGTCTCTATTGCGCCTCAAGCGCGGAGTCGGGACTGACGGCGAGTCGCACAAGGTCAACGGTGTGAACGGTGCCAATAGCACTGCTCACACCAACGGCCACTCCGCCATGCCTAACGGGTCCACCAACGGAGTCAACGGAGCTTCGAACGGTACCAACGGCACGGCGAACGGCGTGAATGGTCATTATGAGACGAACGGCCTCACCAACGGCCACACCAACGGAGCTTTCCAGGAACCTTACCCGTACGACACGCCAGCTGAGCCGGGAAACCCAACGGTGATGCCGCGCGAGCTACAAGAGCAGTTCCACTGGGCGTTCCTAATCCGCGACCCACATTACAGCGTGCCGTCATACTTGCGGTGCACAATCCCCCCTCTGGACGAGGTCACCGGGTTCCACAACTACGACCCTACAGAGGCCGGATATGACGAGCTGCGCCGCCACTTTGATTATCTGCTCGACAGTGGATTGATCGGGCCCCAGGTTGCAACACGCGCGGATCTGAACGCCCAGGCTGAACCACAGGCAACGACTGGCGTTGAGGTGTGTGTGATCGACGCGGATGATATGCTTGACGAGCCGGCGAAGACGATCGAGGCTTTCTGTAACAGTGTTGGTCTGCCGTACAACCCTGAGATGCTGACATGGGACACGGAGGAGGATCATGCTGTTGCTCGAAATGCGTTTGAGAAGTGGCGTGGGTTCCATAATGATGCCATTGAGTCAAAGGCTCTGGTGCAGCGAGCTCATGTGAGTTTTTCTTCCCTTTTTTTTTTTGGAATGGACCATGGGAATGCGAAGGCATTAGGGACTTTGGGCTAACCCTCTTCATAGAAACGTGCTGTCAAGACCGAGGAGCAGTTTGACGCCGAGTGGCAGAAGAAGTATGGCGAGAAGCAAGCTGCTCTCATTCGTCGGACAGTCGACGCCAATATGGCCGACTACCTGTACCTCAAGTCATTTGCCGTGAAGGTTTGAAAGAGACATCGGCCAGTCGTTTGTAGCGCTGAGGCTCAGGAATTGAGTGGAATGGGAAATGAATGAGAGAACAGGGAGCTGGGATGCTTCCCCCATATAATATCTCTTTGACCGCTCCTTTGCGACTTCCATATGAGAACGGTTTAGTTCGATGGCGCCATCTCCACGGGGATTGGTTGATGACTATGACGATCTTGCATGTTTTTGACTTCCAATGCTATTGCCAGTTTGCTATCGAGTTTCTAGTATGGCCTGGTTGGCGTAAACTGCAGGTACGGACTACTGTAGATGGTGGTATCTTGTTGCACACGGAATGCAATATAGCGTCTCAGGACCTAGGTGATGGCCACTTAAGATCTTATCGGGAAAGCACCCATCGGCCTCAGCTTGGAAGTCTGCACCTCTTTCGTCTATGTTGCCAATTAAAGTAATTGTGAACACTTTCCAGGCCCACATGGAAAGTCAAAGTTCGAATTGATTTGAGGCATTGCTGCTGGATATCGTTGCCAGCTTTCGTCTTTGGTCCTTCCCGTGTTCATATCTTAATCATTGAATGGCTTGTTTTTCTCCTCCATTTTGATCCTCTTCCTCTTCGCACTTCCCTAACCAAGCAAGGAGAATCTACAGGTGTACACTAAGATCAGTGTCAGGGGAAGAATCATGAATATTTTTCGACGTGGCAAGATCACTTCAAGTACAAATATAACCAGAATCTTTTGAATATCAAGATTGATAGGCGAAAAGTCATATCAGTCACACAGCCGTCTGACACAGTACTTCAAGCCTTACTTGTGAACCTTGGCATCAGCCTTGAGGGCACTGTTTGGCACGTAGAGAGGCATCGAATCCTCCCAGATAGAATCAGTGAGCACCCGCTTATTGGAGCCATCAGCATCCATGACGACGATCTGACCATAAGGCTGGAAAGTCTGGTCATAGAGAGCACACTCATATTGGAAGCCGAACATGCCAGAAGAGAAAGCAATGCGACCATCCCAAGTCCACACGGCATGGGCGTCGTTGGCACCACTGCTAGTCAGAACCTTGACGTCAGTTCCATCAGAACGCATCGTGCAGATATCGTAGTTGTAATCACTGGTCTTGCGAGTGAAGACGATTCTCTTTCCGTCGGGAGAGAAAGACGGTAGATTATCCCACTCGTTACTCAAGACGGACGTCTGGCGAGTTTCCAGATCAAGAAGACGAAGTCCAAGCTGGGACCTATCGCCCAGAGTCGAGTTTGCTCCCCAAATACGGAACACGATTTTCTTGCCGTCGTGCGAGAAGCTGGGGAAGCCGGAGTTGATCACGGTGCTGTTGCTGGTGAGGGTTGTTTGGCTCTCGGTCAGGACTTCGGAGTATGTGCCGTTAGCAGTGGTTCGTACGAGCCATCCGCCATTGGTTGCGCGGCCTTGGAACCAGAAGCCTACTCCAAAGGTGACCCACTTGCCATCGGGCGACCAGGATGGGTTGAAGGCGCCGGCAGTGCCCATAGCGACAGACTTTTCGTCAAGAAAGCCGGATTCCATGACATTGTAGATGAGGCCCTCATTGGTTCCATTGGCGTTGAAAGAAACAACGGAAGAGTTTCCGAGCTGTTTCTCGGTCAGGGCAATCGCGTTTGTATGGGATAGCTGTGGGAAGACGTCTGTGAAGCGGTATTCCCATTCCGAGTCCCAACTGTATAGCTTCTTGTCCATTGGTCGCACAGTCCAGGCAGTCTTCTCGTAGACGACCTTCTTGCCGTCTGTAGACCAGGCGGGAGAGCGAACTACCTCGCTAGAGGTGTTCACAAATCCACCGGCAGTGGTGTGGAGTCCTTCAATGCCGGCACCCTTGGAGAAGTAGGCGATAGTGCTGTCTGAGATGTATTGAGGGAAGCTCTTCACGCCCGCGCCTTCGGCTTCCACGTGGCGGTCAGCGCCTGTGGCAAAGTCCACCGAGACAAGGGTGGAGTTGGCGGAGTTGAGTGATTCAGGACGGTGAGCGCTCCAGGTATTTTCACGAGTGATCTCGTAGAAGAGAATACGCTCACCATTAGGCGACCACTTGGGCGAACCGAGGCAATAGCCAGGCTTCGACACGACGGGACGGAAATCAGATCCATCAGGGCGAATAGCGTAGATGGACAGCTCTTGTGTATGTTCCCAGCCGGTCACACCTTGGAAGATCGGATCACCGTGTCCGTACCAGCCCGAGTTACGGTCCGACGAGAAAGCAATCCATTGGCCGTCGGGAGACCACGAAGGGCGGAAGTAGCCATTAGGAAGAGAATCATCGGCGGCGGTCGAGGCAGTGTCCGTGAGGTTCCATTTCTTGCCACTCTCCAGATCCATGACCCAGATGTTGGCCTTGTAGCCATTGGCAGTAGATACATAGGCTATTTGCTTTCCATTCGGAGACATGACGACTCCGTCTTCCACCGACGACGTTGCTACCAACTCCTCAAGGTCAGACCCGTCTGTCCGGACGCGGTATATATCCGAATTACCATCACCGTTCCGTTCTCCGGTGAAGGTGATCCATTCTCCATCGGGGGAAAAGGTGGCATGGTATTCGTAGATAGGGTTGGAGAGAAGGGGCCGTTCACCGGTGCCATCAGCATTCGCAATATAGAGCTCTGATGTCCCGGGAGCAATGCGGTTCATATAAAAGATTCCTTTCTTGTCTGACGGCGCCTTGAGGGGTGCGCGTGTATGAAGCGGAGGCGTACTCTTTTTTCAAGGCTCATCTGCTCTGCATATGGGCAAAGAGCCCAAGCCGGTGGCAAAACAAGGCCCAATAGGGCAACCGAGGCGGGAAAACGCATGGTGAATGGGAAAAGAGCGCACCACAGCAATTGGATGCCGGAGTCCGTTATTTTCTGGCACTGCTATACTTATACATAAAAAATCTACCAGGGCAAAGGGCCTGAAGGACCGATCATTTCCTTCCAGGGTCGTAGCACAATTCTTTCCTCCGACAGGCCCACCTTCGCGTAATGAAGTCCGCGTTATTAGCGGGGGCCTTCATCTTATCTGATGAAGCAAGCTAGCGATTGTCCACCACTGAGAATTCCTGCACAATATTGGCCCTTGATCTGATTGGTCTCATCAAGTCAAGCTGTGACTTGCAAGACTTGGAACAAGGCAATGATCGTCGTGACTCGAGATGGACGGAGAAAGCCTCTTCCGCTGGTTACCGGTGACATTGTTGTGGTACTGCTTGGAAGCTGCGGTGTATCCTGTCCTCACAAGGGTTGTTGATCTCGCCTTTATAGACTTGGTTCTTACAGTATTGAGGCATGCTGTATGCAGAGCGAGCTGATCCTGCAGTTCTCAAGCACAACTGTCTTGAAGATGTCAAATGGGCTATCGTGAAGCCGAATGCCAAGTAATCCGGCACTCAACCTCAAAGGGCCTCTGGTCTTGCCCAATATCCTGCTGACACAGGTTCTCCGCTTATTTAGTCAATATATAACCAAGCCACCGAACTTGAGGGTGGACGACCGACGGAATTCCCCGGCTTGGCAAATGCTACCAGTGGTTTGGCAGCAGTCTCTGCGTTGCATACTGAACGTGAACTTGGTGGTCAAACATGCTCGGAGTCCGAAGATCGGTCGGGATTGCCGGATTTAGTGTGTTGAAGCGTCGATCGAAGGTGGAGCAGTTTCACAGTCTTGGCAGGCTTATGTTTTGAATGGTCAATAGGGTTGAAATTGGAGATGCATACTCTGTAGTGTGTTGACGATATCAGACACCTCGAATAGGACGGTACGGCTGCCTGTGGGTTCCTATCCAGTTCTATACGGTTATTCGAATTCTATGGAGACTGAAAAAGTCAATCAAACACACTATCCTCCGATCGATATCGGAAGAGATAGTATATGATGAAGTAGATTACAAGAGAATTTCAAGCCTTATTTTCGGCTCCAATCATTGGAAGCCGTATAGTTGGATCATAACTCCTACAGGTTGGTAGGGTTGGGAGTAATCTCGGGGACCTAGTAAAGGAGATGATCATGGATCTCGCAGACGCTTGCGCCAAGCACCGAACCCTGCTTAACATAATTGTAGAAATGCCGCTGCTTATAAGGTTGCTGCTAGGTACACACTTGGTGCTGATCGTTGTCGTGTCCAGTTTGTCTTGGTTGCTGTGGATATGATGATCTCCTGTAGGAGCAATTGTCGCTGTAAGTAGATCAAATTGGACGAAAGGAAATGAAGGCGTCAAATAAGTATTTAGATAGTGACTGGGTATGTGACCTCCCAACCCAACATAGAAACGTTGATGAAATACTGCCAGAGGTCAAAGGGAGGAAAGCAATGCCACGAAACTCGGAAGGGCGTGAACCGGTGTCAAAAAAATCCTCACCTGCAATATGCAGAAAGTCCAAGGCAACGATTGAGTATTTGTAATAATCTAAGATAAAAAGAAAGATATCAACCTTCGTTAAGAGAAGATAGTGTAGCTTCGTCCAAAAGCACAAATGACTATAGGAACCAATCTATCCAAGCCAAGCCCCTTCATACTGCACTGTAACCACCCCGCGAGCCGGCTCCTTGCAGAGTGTTGACCACACGACGGAGCCAGTCCTGGAAGAGATAGGGAATATCGCGGATAGTGTCACCGTGAGGAAGAAGGTCCCAGCCGCGGGCGCCGTAACGGTTGTAATTGAGCCACGACCCGAATATAAGGTAGGCGGCAATGCAGAGGAAGGCACTGGATAGATTGGTTAGTAGGGTGTTCCAATACAAAAGCAAGAACACGAAAAGGAAGCTCCTAAGAACCAAGCAAAACTCACATGATGATCAACCAGGTAAAGAAACCCCAGCTCTTGGAGCCAGGAGCATCGCCCTTCTCCTTCTCAAACTCATCGCAGGCATATTTCGTGCGCCAATCCAGTCTCAGGATGTAGGTATCATCATCCGACGGAGCAAAGCTCTTGAACTGCAGACTACTGCTGTTGTTGCTGTTCCCCAACGTGTTATTTCCCAGCAGCACACCACCTTGCTCTCCTTCCGCTCTCCGTCGTCGCTCCTTCGTCTCCGAGTCCTCTGCAATCGTATGCAAACCCTCTAGTCCAGATCGCTCGTGATCGCACAGGAAGTCAATGATCGCGGCTGCCTTCTTGGGCTTCTGATCATCGACATCTCCCTTGTATGAGCCGCCTTCCAGTTTGACGCGCAGTCCCTCGGTCTCCGAGTCGATATCCTTCAATCGCTTCGGTTCTGGGCTCTTCGGGTCTTTGCCAGCAGGGTCAAGCCCGACGATCGGGAAACCGAACGTCGAGCCGCCATTTCCGTCCTTCGCTATTCGGTGCACGAATCCGCATGCTAAAACAAAACATCGATTAGCATGATCACCCCCAAGCGGGAACGGACTTCAACATGGTCGCGTCATCCCGACCAGGAACGTACCGTTTTTGCCAGTCCCGCATGTCGCGTCGCCGTACCGCGCAGCACCCTCCAGAACATTGCAGATATTCAATCGGTAGGTTGTGTTGGTCACGTAGCCATCGGTTGTTACACTGTGGGTCAACTCGTGGACGCCTTTTAGGGGACTGAGATCGTATTTGTAATTGTCGACCTTGATGTCTGTGCAGTCGAAGCCGGATGCAGATGCGGATGCCAGTGTGGATAAGAGAGTGGGGAGGAGGAGTGAGACTCCATTTGATTGTATTCGCATTTTGATAGATGTGTCGCTGGCTGGGTCGCGAAGCGTAGGCTGTTAGGACTGATGAAAGCCGGGACGAGGCTTTCGCGCAGGAGCTCGATAGCTCAGATGGTGACGGTCACGAAGACAGATATACACAGGACAGGTGTGGCCAGTGCAATTAGATCAGGAGAGAGATATGGTTATTGGTTTGGGGGTTTGAGGTTGCAAAGTGACGATGACGAGGTTCTTGTTCCTGCGGAGGTGTTTCGTTTCTCCGGTGGCGGTGTTTCGCACAAAAAAGTGATGCCTACACTCTACTCAGATTGAAGATGCCTTGTAGTATTTGAACTTATTTCAGGGATTTGATGAATTATACAATCTTCTCTCTATTTGTTCTTTAAAAGAGAAGCAAAGAAGAACTACTATGATGTCACCCCAAGTACCCAGCTACCCAACCTAGCTCTATGGATGTCACGCAGACAGAAGAGAAGAATATATGCCGACAAAAAAAGTAGAACTAATGCCTGGTAATCATCCAGATATGACCTAAATACTGTATAATGTATAGATCCTCGATTCCTTAAGACCAGCACTTATCCTCATCGTCACGCACGGACCACCTACTCAAACCCGATATCAAACGCGCAAACCAACCAACCCGCAACGAGGACAGAGCAAAGTCCTGGTAGAAAAGAACAGACAATTCCCCCACCCAGATCCCACCAATTCACCCCCAAATCAATCGCCAAAATGGTGCAGCCGCGCATGGTAAGCCAGTCCCCAAGTTCCAAGGCGAACACCCCACCAAAGTCCAGCTGTCAAGCTAACCAAATCAACGCGCAGCTCACAAAAGCGGACGAGACATCAGCCAATGATGAGAATGAAGTCCGTCGCGAGGATCAGGAGAAGATTAACCGGTTCAGTCGATTGCATCAGCGCGAGACTGTGCTTGAGGAGCAGTTGAAGGGAAAGCAGGTACGAAAACACTCTTTCGAGGATTTTATTCTATGTCATGCATTGAATATCTTACTAACTAGTTTATAGAAGGATAAGGAGGATTTGGAAGAGGTTTCGATGGAGTTAGAGCTTGCTGATGAAGAAGAGCTTGTACCGTAAGGATCTCTTTCCATTTTTTTTTTTTCTTCTTATGCTCGATACATGTTCTATTCTGTATATTCGCCGGCGCTCTTTTGGGGGATATTGTGAAGAATCTGCAAAATAAAAAAAAACACAAAAAGAAAAGAAGCCATCACTAACAAGGACACAGCTACAAAATCGGCGACTCGTTCTTCCAATTACCGCTACCAGACGCGCAGGCAATGCTCTCCACATCAACAGAGAAGATTGACGCAGATGTCTCCAAGCTGGAGGATTCGCTTGGTGAGCTACGCGAGGAAATGCAGCAGCTGAAGGTTGCGCTGTATGCGCGTTTTGGCCGGAGCATCAACCTAGAGACTTGAATTGGATGATCCGGATGTATTACCACTCTTATTCATTTGTCTCTTGGCATTGTTTTCTCTTACCTCTCTGGAAAATGAGGATCGAGGTTGGACAATCTTCGGTCCTTGTCTAAATTAGATATGTGGAATGGATGAACTTGATGATAGGTTAGATGGCATGGCATCTGCTTCATATCTACTCATAATCATGAGTATATGGAGGTATAAATTTGCAGGTAGGGCTGGCTATTATGAGACAAATGAGGACCACAGCTCGTCAATATCATTCAGACCAAACGCGATAGTCAAGAGGTATCTAAAAGAAAACGAAAGAACAAAAAAAGGAGAGAAGAGAAGAGAAGAGAAGAGAAAAACCATAGACACGAACTGTCAACGAAACAAGTAGGCAAAACAAATGGCTCCATAAAACCATGGCATATATTTAGGAACGGGCCCTGGTTCCGCAAGAATCAACACAAATAACGCCTATTCGCCGGTGCAGTGATGTCCAGTCATCCGGTTAGGAGTATCTGACCAGCTCACCGACCGAAGACCAATGCGAGAGAAATTCAAATCAACAAAACTCAAGGTATGGCCACACTGCTGTTCGCCAATGATGTCGTGGGCCTTGTTCGGGGAATATGTATATACGGCGCACGTATTGGTGTTTTTTGTATGTGTTTGCCGTGTGCGAAAGTTGGTAGATCATCGGAACTTGGCACGGCAGCGGCCCATGATCTCGTTTTGGCAGACTAGTTCGGCGCTGAACTCACTGCCGTCTAGCGTAAGGTAAATATCAAAGTAGACACGGTAGAATATGCCCTGTGGTGTGTCCATGCGCTCGAAATCGGTCTCGAGGTTCTTGCGCGACAGATCGGATGTGAGTGTGACGACTTCTTTGATGCCTAGGGAAAGGATTAGTGATGCGTACAAGGGAAATGGAATTTCTCAACATACGTGGATCCTTGGTGTACTCGGGGCAGACGTCCTCATCGCAAGCGTACAGCACATCTTCGTACATGAGAGTGGCGCCAGGTGCAACTTGACGGAAGAAGCTGACCTTGACTGGTTCGCCAATTCTGACACGCTCTCCCTTTTGGACAAAAATCTGGCGGGTGTACTTGCATCGATCGCGGCCATCCAAACTGGGAACACGGTACTGTTCCGGGTGATAACCTTCCTTGAATGGCTGAAGTGTGGCCATAAGATAGTGTCGACGTGCTACACGGTGTGTGACGACGCGCTCGGTGATACCTGCGGTGACTGCACCCTTGACGATTGCTGCTACAGAGTCCATTGGGCGGACAACCTTTGCCTGATATTGTGGCGGCACGTGGAGCTTGATCTGCTGGAAGAGATATTCAGAAGCACCAAATCCACCGACGACCAGAACGTTCTACAGATTTGTTAGCTCTGTGCTGAAGATTAGGTCGATTTTCTCTTACCTGGATGAGGCGGTTCTGTGCTTGAATAGCGATGATCTGGTTACGGACCAACTCGAGGATACGATTCACGACAGGCTCAAAGCACTGAAGAATCTCCTCGTTCATGAAGGTCATGTAGCCCTCTTCAATACCAGCTTCGGGGAAGTCGGCCTCGATACCCACATCCACTGCCCATTTTTGTCCGTTGTTGCGGAAGTCGGCCTTGATACGATTCTCAAAGTCCATGATACATTTCGCGTAGACCTTGCCCGCAGTCCGAGAGCCATCCGGCAGCTTCATCTTACGGATCTTCGCGCGTAAGATGTTACTGAAATTCCGATTCAGTGCTGTTGAGCCACAGGAGTCACCAGACCCGGCAGTACATTCCATCACACTGAAAGGCTGCTCTTCCTCGACCTCGTATGCAATCAAATCCACAGTACCACCACCGCAATCCACGATCAAAATAGCGTCGCCCACCTTCAAGTTAAGCAGTCCGCTTTTGGCACAGAACAAGGCCGCTGCCTCGGGTTCTGAGACTAATGTAAGACGGTTATCGTTCTCGTCGCGCAAAAAGCCAGCTTGAATAGCAGCAGTCCGTGTCGCAGCTTTGCCGGCGTCATTCCAGATAGCCGGTACAGTCAGGTAGTATCGGATATTACGTTCCTCGCGTGTAAATACCTCTCCTAGAGCCTTTTGCAGCTGAGCGCGAATGGCTTGTCGTAGCTTGAAGAGGTAATCGGCAGCGACGTCGATTTCGGACTTGCCCGGGGGAGGGGGGCAGGTTGATGGGATCGATATAGGTGTTTCCAGAGAGCATAAGCTGGAGCTTAAACCACTCGACTTTCTGCACTTGGGGCTTGGGGTATCCGGTCGGGGCAAGAGCGTCGGCGATATCGGGGCCCCATCCTACAACCTTTTGGTATTGGTCGTAATAGAGGACGGTGGGAATCTAGTATAGAAAGGCTGTTAGACCCACGCTCATGAAGTCTGGTTGTCCGCACTCACCTTTTGCTTTGCGTGGGTTCCGGCGCCAGGCCATTCCGTGATGATGTCCTCGCTTGCCTGGTTGTTGGTCGCAAATGCATATGCTACACCTGAGAAGGTTGTACCAAAGTCAATGCCAACAATCAGTTGAGCCTTGCTCCGATCTCCACCCTCGACCTCGACCGCAGGGTTGCGCCCGGGATACTGGTTGTTCGACAGTGGGGCGGGCATACTAGGAGCCATCTGCTGCTGCATACCATAGCCCGGTGGGCCATTCACAGGAGCAGTAGGATATTGGAGGTTTGTAGTGATGGATGGAGGTTGTTGACCATGTACCATTGGGCTGGTTGGTCGGTTGTTTGTGTAACTTGGCGGTCTACCTAACTGTTGGTTCATTGGAAGACTTGTTGTTGATGAACTGTGACCAGATGGGGGCGGGGAGCTAGGGGTAGGTGTCGCAATAGGCTCTGGATTAGGAGTCTTATGTTTGTTCCTAAAGGTGAACGACTTAAATCGGGAACTCATGACAACCATGTGAAGCGACGAAAGAGGGTAAGAAAACAGAAAGGGGGGGAGATGAAAGAGGGGGAAAGTGAGGCTGAGGTTTACGGTAAATTGTGGAGATCAAAGAGTGAAAGAATCAAACCATGAATTAATATATATATATATATATATATATATATATGCACGGAGTTTAGGTATCTGTATCTAGATATGTTTTTATGTGTGTATATTTAATTACGATCATTTTTAGGGAAATAATTGAGATAGTGAAGATTACAAATTCCCCGGGGTGAGGCTGAAATGGTTATATACTTGGGCACACTCCATCTATGGAGTAGGGAATGGTAAGATACACATCAGATATTAGGATATGGATATCAAATTACTCGATTCGCCCAAATTCTGATTATGTTCTATCTTACCATTTCGGGTGGCGCTCGAATCTCCCTAGAAAGTATATGTACATGTTCTTTGTGAATGTGAATACTATATATGGAGTATGGAGTATGGAGTACGTAGTACATCGAGTGAGTATATCTTTTGAAGTCTCTCTTTCTTACTTCATGCCCGAGGTATCTCAGGCCATTAGGCTCCTTCTTTGTCTTGGATTTTGGCCCCCAAAGGCGAAAAGAAAAGGGCAAAACCGGCCTTGCCTAGCCTACTCCGTACCTATGTCGATTATTACAGGGGTTTGTCCGCTTTCCGACCAGCCCCCCAATTAAACCAGTTTTCGCGCCACCCAAAAGGAGGGCTGATATAGATTCTGGAGCATGCTGTTGGGGTCCTGAATGTAGCCACAAGCCTTCCGATCTCCACGCTTTTCGAGGCGGAAGCCCAGACGTTCCACGAGGCTCAGCACTTCTTCCTCGGATAACTCCACATTTCCTGGCTCGCCAATCCCAGCCCCCTCGTATCCGGAATCATTCCCTCTACGGGAGTGACCGTCATCGAAATGCCACAATAACGGACCCACGTTGATCCAGAGCCCGTTGGGCTTGAGGCTGTGTCGGATCGTCTCAATATACCGAATGATGTTTGGCGCTGTGTCAATGAAGAAAACAGTTGCTACCGCGTCAAACGTCTCGTGATTTTCCGGCTGGGTATACAATACGGTAAAATCCGCTGCAGACATAGACATCGCACCGAAGCGGCGACCGGCATTGGTAGCCTCCTGCATGGCCAATCCGGGGTGCACGTCTGGAATCATAACTTGCTGGAGCTGCTGTGCCCGGGATTGGAGATTGGAGAAATGCAATGCAAAAGGATGAAGGGCATGCTTTGCTGGCCCGTTGGTATGGTTTAAAACCCAATTACTGGCTAGCAGTTGGTGATAGGAGATCTCATTTCCCTCGGCATCATAGCCTGCCATACAAATCTCAAAGACTAGACGACCCAGACCAGCGCCAGGGACCAGAACACGAATTTCCTCTCCGCTTTCACGCCGGGTCTGGAACTCCTCGTTGAGAGCCTGGAGAACGGGATCATAGCAGACTTCTCTTTCAGGTCGTCCTTCGAGACTCCAGTCACGATAAAACTGGCGTATTGTTGAGTGCGCTTTGTTGACATCCGATGAAGTTGCTGTGTCATGCCAATTTTGAGTAGGATTGGTTTTGTCGGGGTTTGCAATAAGACCAAATGACTGGAGACCCAGCCCCAGAATTGCATCGGCAATATCGGCGTTGGTATCAATCGCGTCATCCACCTGATTAAAGTTATCAAGGATGGAGAATGGAGGCTCCGAGAGCATCTGCCAGTGTGCCGAGGGCAGCGCATAGAAAGCTTGCCGTCGGCGATGAGTAGTATTCATATGTGCATTTCGCCGATATTTTCTATGTTTGGATTAGTCAAAACCGTTGCGATTGTATGTACGAAGTAGAGAATTGGTCGTTTCAATCCGATGCAGAAGCTATGAGGCAACAAAATATATGCTGTAGTCAGCTGTCTACCCACATACCTGAACGAGTCAAACGCAGCAAATAGCACCCTACGCTCTTCCGGATCAGCAAAAGGGTCGAAGTCCCCTCCCCAACTGCTCTCCTCCTCAGTTTGAGGCTTTTGATGCTCAGATGCCATGACAAGGGTGTTAGACTAGCTCCACGTCTCACGGTGTTGCTCAATGCTACAGGATTGTACACCCCTATGAGAGCTAGCAGTGACCAAGAAGAGACAATTGTCGAAACCAAAATGAGAAAAGAGAGACCAGAGAAAGTATATGGAGGGGCAGACAAAACAAGTGGGCAATCCTCGAAGGCCATGAATGACTCCTATTGGGTCAGTTTGCCTTACCGCTTGGCTCTCCGCCTTTTTATCTGGATAGGTATAGACACTATAGGATTGACATATACATATATATAATATTTATCTGTTTAAGACTACGAGAGTGACTCAAGTAATCCCGCCTTATATTTGATGGTTTTCGGGGTGTTTCATGTGTGTAAATAACTGGGTACGCAGTAGGGGTTTGAGGGATCTTGTCCACTTGATGAAGAAGTGATTACTGTATTTCAAAGATAGAGAGCAACAGAAACTTGGATTACTACAAAGTACTATGCAGAATATCTACTATCTCTCGAAGGGAATAAAGAAGGGAGGCAAGAAGACAACATGTTTTCTGCCAGAAATAACACGGGAATTATGTCGTGAGTGGCTGTTACGGTACGCCGTAACGGCGCCGGCGCGGGGATTCAATATGGAATATCCTAACTTTCAACAACTTGTCTAAATATCGTCCTCCCCTTTTCTCTCTAACTTATTTCTCTTCAAGTCAAGGGGTGTAAAGGGCAAAAAACATGGCGAATGAAGCCCCAGCCGTCCCTCTGGCGGAACTCGCCACTCCCAGCGTCAAGCCTCAAGAGATCTCGTTCACCTTGCCCAAAGCTTTCCATACAACAGCACATGTTCACTTGAACTTCTTGGGCCATTGTGCCATGGTATTCCTGGCTACCTCATCGCCGGCTGATTCGGGCGGCTCTATCAAACCAATGGGGAGCTTTGTTTATGCGATGCCCGATGTAAGTACCTTGCCTCTCTGAAATTCTGTGCCATATTTCCAGTAAAGGCATTATAATTCTCTTATACCATAATGAATGGACACGAGATAGGATCCTTGTGTGGCATAGCTCCAAAACAGCCGTTTCCTGTTCTGCTCGATGTGGAATTTGCTGCAATCGCGCGCACAACACAACCCCAAGCACCAATTGGACAGGGGAATTGTCGTGCTAAACATATGTCTGAATTTTAGAACAATAATCATTTCATTTTTTTTTAAAAGATTTCTTTGCGCTACCGGGATATAGCTGACATCTATATAGCGCACTTCACCCAAGTCGACGATATCAACAACACTCTACACCTCGCCATCTAGCATTGAATACACAACCCGCATAGCTAAGATCCTAGCTCGACGGTTTTCCATGCCGGTCTATGTTGGCTGCAGTATTGACCCACATGGGATGGGGTTGGAAGTCGCGGAGGAAATGGAAGGGCTGACCAAGATCGTCAATGTGATCATGGAGAAGTGGGAAGAGCACAAGCAGGAGAAGGCTGGAAGTGCTGAATAAACGTCTGTCGAACGAAATACCCGTTTCGGTTATTTTTCGATCAAAAATCATATACCTAATTGGAACCATTGCTCATTCACTTCGTTCTGACGGAATCCTTCCTCTTTTACTTTCACACCCAGGCCATTTTTTGCTACCCCTTGTTTAACAGTTCCCTAAAAGAAGCCATGGTGTCTGTCTGATTATATTGATGCAATGATTCAAGCTTCATATGATCCTTGATATAGGGACCATAATCACCGGCAGAATATGCCAGGCGTATGCGCTTCGCGAAGCCGACCTCCCCTGTCCATCTGGACCCAATTCAAGTTCCGACCGAATCCAATCAAAACCAGCACAGACACCAACAATATAGCCTCAAACATTGGCTCCGCCTCCAAAAGAACATCACAGATCTTTCAGGGATTGGTCAACTGGTCGGCAAGGACAAACAAATTCAGTCCACGAAGCAGAGATAGAGCAGATTTTCAAAGGCGAGCATCAAGCGCGAGTCAGCACTCACACCGCTTACTTTAGGATATTCCAGCGCTAATCAACGCCACACATTGAAGCGAGTCATGCATGCGACACAGATATGACACGGTCGTCCAGTCACCCACATGACTCCTACAACCCTGGTTCCAGCTCTGGTATCTGTTTGTTGATTGGCGTTTGTGGAGAATGTTGCCATAAGGTACTTTTTGAGTGTGATGGAGAAAGCATGGATGAATACCGTGGATACACCGGTTTCTCTCCTAGTTCTACTGGGCGTGCTTTGACTTTTCTGCGCGAGATTTCAAGGCCTATTCTAGGCTGTCATGGATGTGCCGCAGACTCCAAGAACCCGCTATGTGGTCCCGAGATTGTCTCGTCTTTGATCCAGCCAAACAATACTGGATCGTTGTTTCAGAAGGGAAGAAAGAGGGTGAGCTTTTTATATAAGCTTGTGGCGGGAGCGGTTCTCGCGGTGCACGCAGTCCAGTCCAATCCGCCAGACAAGGAGCGGGAACGTATGCCCTGTACAATGCGAACGTATGCTGAGGCTAGTCGGCGTTTCTGCAATTTCGCAAGTGAGGAGATCCACGGCAAACGCGCTGGTATAGTTGGCTTTGAGAGTGGGCCGACTAGCCCGTTGTTTGGTCCGTGAGTTGTGAGTGGTGAGTGGTGAAAACTTAGCGCTCGATGCTCATTGGCATGTTTGTTTACAAAGAGGTGGGTTTAGCCTGGTCGGGGAAGTGGGCGGGACTACTGTCCAACATATGAAATACGGAGTAAACAAGATAGATATGTCGGGGCCATGAGAGATCTTATCAGCAGAAGAACCCCGAGTCTGTTCGGTGTTCCATGTCCTTGCTGCGAGACATATACAAGCCAAAGTCAGCTTGACTTGAATGGACACATATGACCAAGCTCTGATCGAGGTATTGTCCGGTTTTGCATGCACGCTGATTCCACTCGGATGCCACAATTGAATTATGTTGTGCGTATCACGGATATCACCGTTGCATCTACCTGCAGGTGGATATCCTCTGAGCTCCACAGTGGTATATTAGCTGAGCACCCCTCAAAACGCATAATGCATTACCAATCACGTCAATCCTTGAACCACACAAATGAAAACTGGTAAAAACAAAAGTTTCCTCGGGAAACCGACAAGAAGAGTGGTCCTGGATCAATAATGTGAAGCATCTTCGATCAAATAGGATCTGAGACACACCCGTGAACTAGCAAACGGAAGACGCCGGGTGTCTCGGGTTGACAAGCGTGACAGTTGTCAAGCAGAGCAAATCGGAATGGCTCGGTTAACGGGTATTTTATCGAGATCGTTGTCCCGCTGTGGGGCGTTGAGCCATAGCCGGAGGTGAACAATTTATGTACAGATATCGTATTGGGAGATTCGTGGTGTGCTTATCTATACTCTTAAACATCGATCTATGTAGGTGTTAGGTTGCGGTGGATGTCATTCAGTTCTACACTGTGGGCATCTCCTTTGCGAAAAGGAGGATCAAAGCCGCTGGATATATTACACTTTGTCGGACCTCGCGGATCTGCATACCTTGTATAATATACATCAGATAGCTGAGATTCAACGGGATATAAATTTAGAATAGGGTAATTGATAATCATGTGGAAGGGTTCCAATTGGAGCCCAACAAGAGGTCCAAGAGACGGCCCTGGCTCTGGTACACCGCAAGTTCCAGAAGGGAAAACGTATCTGCAGGTTATCACAGTTACGGGTGCATTACACGTGCCATTGGACCCTTGCATGGTATCTGGAGAATAGTTCCGAGCGGCACGAACCGAGTAAACCTATCTTCTCGTTTCGGGTTAGGCGTGTCCAAATCATTTGCCGACCTGGGAGGTGAAACGTTTTATTAACATTCAAATTAAGTTCGTCGGCAAAACAGCCTAGATCCTCGGAGCAAGTTCCTTAAGTGTCACCTTCTCCCTAACCGAGGGGGGAAATGGGTTCAAGCCTTTGTAGCCTTGGGGAATGGTTGCTGCAACCGAAATGTCAGCCTTGGCCCTGTTTTTTTTTTTTCTTTTTCTATATTTTTTTCCCTTGGAGCCAGAGTAATCCTCAGGCGCACATCAGTACGAAGTAACGGAGTACTCCGTACAGATTCTGATTGAAGACATACTTTTCCCCTTATATAGTCCCGTAACAATGCATCGCAAGAACACCAGTGGGCTTGCACTGGAGATATTCTCCGTTTCGGCACTGTACCCAGATGGGGTGGACCCCCGGAGCTATCTCACAGGTGAAAGTTGTTTTAAGTTAGACTGTCAATAAGCCAAGAAAGACCCGGACACCGGGCCAACCATCCGATTCCATGTGGTCCCGGTGCACTTCCGAAGATCACCCTGAGGGGCGAGATCTTCGTGTTTTTTTTCCTGTTTTCTTTTTCTGATATCATATTGGAAAGGTTTTTTTTTTATATATCTGGAAATCACCTGTTTGCACTGCCGATCTCGGGTTGACTTGCTTTTATATATTACCATTTATATACTCCGTACGTTGTATACACTCGGCAGAGATCCGTTGAAGATTCCTTAAAATATTCAATAATATTCCTCGATCTATAGTTCGTTTTTTTTTTCCCTTTTTTTTTTCCTTTTCTCTTTTTTGACATTCTCCGATCTTCCCTTTCTTCACATTCTTTGATCTTCAATTTTCCCACCTGGGCAACCTCGGCATTTGCATATCATTGGTCTTTGGGCCTGTTAATTCTTTTTTAAAAAAAATATTGATTTTTCCCCTAATTTTCCTTTTCAGTCTCAAACAATGACTTCCCAATTTCCATGATAGCAGGAAATCGAAATCTTGCCGGGGACTGTGCCTTTGATCTGAAACTTTTACTTTCTTTCCAATATCTGTCGACACCATGCAGCCTTTTCGTAAAGGCTATGAACTCCCACCGGTGCAGTCAGTGACGTCGGGCGCATTCCCGGCGCCCGCGCTGCTTTCCGCTCCGCCGAGCAGACCTGATAGCGGGATGCGAATGTCCCATTTACTACAGCCTATGCCTTCCACTGTACCGGCGACATCACCGTATCAGCGCTTTTATGACTCCGCTTCCGGGTCACCAGCTGAGAGTACACTTCCAGATGCCCCGCCAATGAATTCTGCAGGTCTCTACCAAACCAGTCCGGGCCATGGGCAGCAAACCGCCGCGCAATTACAGCAGAAGCGTGCGTATCGCCAGCGTAGAAAGGACCCCAGCTGCGATGCGTGTCGTGAGCGCAAGGTCAAATGTGACGCCTCGGAGTCCTCCAGTTGCACCGAATGTAACAATCGCAGAGTGCGTTGTCAATTTACCAAGGAGACGAACCGTCGTATGTCGTCCATCAAACAAGTTCAGGATCTGGAGAAGCAGTTGCAGAACACGAAACAGCAACTACAGCACTTACAGACCGGCATGATGCGCCCCGATCGCATGGTTGATGTTGACGAAGGCGTCCCGCAGCCGATGGTCAAGTTGCCGGAGATCGAATATCGACCCGTGCGCCGTTCCAAGGCGCCCATCCCACAGGATTTCTCCGATGTGCGATCTAATCTCCGTCGTTACGGTCGTGGTATTTTGAAGGTGCCCACTCCGTACCGCCAAAAGGGTGCAGAATCATTGGTCACTGGGGATGCGCCGGAACTGCCGCCGAAGAACTTAGCAGATCACTTACTGGCCCAATATTTCAATTGCATCCACTCGGTGCTTCCGATACTCCATTGGCCCATATTTATCGCAGAGTATGAACAAGTTTATCGGTCGGGGTCATTGCTGGGTGTCTCGACCGAATGGGCGGCCGTGTTGTTTAGCGTATTTGCTTGCGGCTCGATTCACACGAACGAGGCCAATCGGGAAGAGGAAGGAAAGAAATATGTACGCACTTCCTGTGGCATTATTGATGTTTGGCATGACAACTTCAATTTGGATCGGGCTCGCGCAGCGCTACTGGCAAGCATCTTTCTCTACGAGGTCAATTCGAAGTCAGCTAGCTGGGTATGGATTGGCTCTGCAGTGCGAGTGGCTCAAGAGATTGGGCTGCACATCGACTCTGGACCGTGGCCTGCAGTCGAAGGAGAGATGCGGAAGCGTGTTTGGTGGGGGCTATACGCCTGGGACAGATTGCTTGCGCTTGAGATGGGAAAGCCTGTGTTGATCAATGATCAAGATTGTGATATCGACCTTCCATGTCCCGTGGACGAGCAGTATATCACAGAAGGCGGCATCATCCCAGACAGCCAACAAACAACGCCACTACTAGCTACAATCCACGTCGTCCGATCCATCGGTCAACTCACGCGCACTCTACGCTCCGCAACCATCAGTCCTGCCACGCTCGAGACTTTTGAACTCCATTTCAACACCTGCCTCGCTACCTTTCCCTCCCAATTTCACCCCAAAACTGACCAAGACCTCGACCCCCGCTCCCTCGCCCCGGTAATCTACCTCCAGAATGCCCGTCTTCTCCTCCACCGCCACAACATCTCCCCCTTCTGCCCAGAATTTGTTCGCACCTCAGCAATGGACTACTGCGTCTCGACAGCTCTCGACACGGCCAACATTCTCGCACGCTGCATGCGCAACTACCCAACGAAACCGGGACCACCATGTATCAATGATCCCCGCTCGCACTTTGCCTCCTGCGCCGGCTCCCTTCTCTGTACACACATCTGGCGCTGCACCCTCCTCCTTCTCTTCCGCGCCGAGTACGACGGTGCTCTAGCGTGCGTCCAAGCGCTGGCGTCAATTGGCGACGTGCGCACCGTCAACGCAGCCTGTGGCCGATACCTTGCCTTCTTCCTACGTCGTCTCCTAGTTCGCATTCGCCCATCCGAGGGACACGTCGTTGATCTCGACCACGACGAGGAAATGATGGCGTATGTCTCGGGCGATATGCAAGGAACCACCGACGGCAGTTGGGTGTGGCATGGATCCGAGACGGGGTCTCAATTGGAGGGGATGGGGAACGCGACGTTGGAATCTTCGAGCCATCGGACGGAGATGGAGATGGATGCAGAATGGGAAGGGTGGGAGTGGATTGAGAAGACTGTGCAGAATCTCTTCAACGAGAAACAACAGCAACAACAGCGGCATGTGGCTTATGGACAGCCAAAGCTGGAAGCTTCTGCTTCGTCTTCTACTCTTGCGCCTGAATCAGCTGGTTCAGCTAGTTCGGCGCATTCACGCATGACGATTGCTAGCATTATTTGAAGCGGGTTCTATTTGCGGTTGTGTTGCTTTTTTTTCGCGTTGTATCCGGATTCCACATGCGATGTCCTATTTTTTCGTCTTACTTGAACGCCCCCACCTACGTCATCCTCATTCGCTCTCACATATCACTTCTAATTAGGGTGTCTCTGGCTCTAGATTCAGATCTAGAGCTCAGCAAACCTGTGACGGTCAATTGCTGCCATATCCTCTGGTCACTTGCCTGTTTTTCATATCTTCCTTGCAAATATTGCATTGCCGATACCCATCCGCAATTTATTGTTCATAGCATTAATCTTATACTGTATATATTCTCACGCTCACGCATCAGATTCAGATGAATTGTTCCAGTCTGCATCTGTTTCTATGTTTCTACTTAGTTGGATGAAAACCTGAACCTCAACATACTGACAAACCTTGAGCTAACCCCAGGACAACTTGCCTGTGACATTGGTCTATGTCTGGATAATTGGTATCAACACACTATCACAAGAAAGCTATATATACCCAACCATCAAAGACATCATAGTCAACAGTATTTTCTTTTCCATCCTTTAGTTTTCCTCTCCTTTTCCGTCATTCTCTTTCTACCTTCCCGCCTTTTCACCCCTCCACCTTTCCACCCCTACACCTCTGCATTTCTCCAAATCCAACCAACCCAGTGGGGATGAACATGACTTAGATCAAGGTTCCCTCAACAGGAACAAATGTACCATTCTGAATAGATCCAGCGTGGTGGCGGGCAACAAGACCGTAAGCAAACTGGTACCTACAGACAAAATCAAGAGATTAGTATCTATGAAACCGCAGAAAAGCCAAGAGGAGATAGTAGCTTACTTATCAAGGAAAGGCAGAACCTCATTGAGACCAGGAGTCTTACGCCAATCGCGCATGAGATCACAGACAATACCGAAAAGACCCATGAGCGTAACACCGGCCCTCTCCATACGACGATTCGCATCCTCAGCAAGCTTGACATCGAAAGTGCCACTGGCATCGGTATTGGCAAAGACTTCGTAGCCAGCGTCAACGAGAGACAGAGCGAGGAAGGAGGTGCCTGGGTTGATTGATCAGTATGTATTTTATTCTCCTTCCCTTTCCCTTTTGCTTCTTCTCCACTTACAAACTTCGGTAACGATGCCGGCAATGATCAACTGCTTCTTGCCAGTGGCCTTGACGGCAGCGCGGAACTCCGCATTATCCCAGGCATTGACCTCGCCCTGACGGCGGACGAATGTCGCGTTGGGGTGCATGTCGGTGATTTCCTTCAGCATGAGGCCGTTCGGGCCTGCGTCCGAGGAGCTGGTCAGAACGGTTGGAAGGTTGAAGACATTGCCCAGGGCAGCATGGCCGAGGATGTTGTTGCGGAAGTCGTTTGTGTTGAAATCACGCACGAGTTGGGCGAGGCCGACTTGGTGGTCGATGACGAGGAGAGCCTGGGGCAGTTAGATTGTGTTTCTTCCCCTTCTTCTCCTCCTCCTCCTTTGGGTGGTGTTTTTCAATGCTGCTTGGAAGATAAAACTCACTGCGTTGTCCTTGTCCAGTCTGTTCCATGCTTGCGCGGGAACAGATGCTGCAAGCAAGAGGGCTGCTTTGATTCCGGCGGAGATGCGCATCTTGGAAATGATTCTTTTGGATAGGAAACTAGGATTGTCTGAGATGTTCTGGATATACCTCTAGACTTGGAGACAAGGTTGCTTTTATACCTCGAGCTTGAGGGTACCTACGCTCCTGGGCTGAAGAATCTAATTCCTGTCATGGGTCTCATAATCATGACAAAGTACTTGCAAAGGTCTCACTTTGCTTACAGCGTTGATGATTTTCATTTTTCTTGTGCTGTCCGTGGTGAGTATTGTTTGCTGTCAGTGCTTGAGGTATGTCTTGGCGTACAGAAATGGCTAGACCAGACAGGGATTCAATTTGTGAGATTATGAGATTGTGACAGAACATTACAGACTTCTTTTTCTCTTCCCTTTTTCATCGTCATATGGAAGTTAGCGTGCATTAGTTTCGCTCCGGTGCAATGACATAGATGAAATCCAGCAAATATTTTATTTCGGGGTCCATTTTAGATTGAAACCCGGTATAGCTAACTAATGACTTCGTTTTTGCCCTTTTTGAACTAAAACTGTTTGACTTAGGGTCGCAGCGGTAGCCTCAACATTCCTTATTGAGTCGAAGTGAATAGAAAGAAGTAACCTGAAATGGAAAGGCTACGCACTTCCTTTTGCTCCGTAGAGATCAATCAGTCTGAATATCACGAAGGCTGAGGATACTCAAGCTAGTCTTATCCCACAATATATCTACACTGCCCACCGCGTCGACTTTGCTCACGCTCTCTCAGATGGTTAGGCGACGATGTTTAAAGTGAGAATTCGGCAGGCCCAGGAGATCATCCATCGCAAGCCACTACAAGATATTAAGACGTACATCAATCTTGGAAGAACTCTTCGGAGTTACTCCGAGAAATCACGGCAAGAGGACTGCAAGACTGAAACTGAGGCATATTTAAATTTCCGAGATAAGGAGACTTAGAGGAGAATAAGCCACATTCCGAAACCGCCTGGGTTGTCGAAATTAAAGCATAGATTATCAAGATTGTGGGGCGAAACCTCCAGACAGAAGGTTATTGAAGCCTACTACCTACTCAGGTATTGCCTCCAATCAATATGCTAAGAGCCACACAGTACTCTGTACTAGCAATTCGGTTCAATACCATGCTGAATTTCCTCGAGTCCAGTTTCTTGCAATTATGTTTGCACGATCAACTGCAAAATGACCGTAAAGAGCCCCAAGCCAAGCGATTTTAGGGTTCCAGCAGATCCACCACCCAGAGCTCGAAATCAATTGGAACGGCTAAAGGGCTCGCTTCGACCCGTCGGCTGAACAATCCGTAAATGCTAACCTGTAGTTATTTTAGCGTTGGCGTTATCCCGGTATAAGCTGGGTGTCAGCATCTGTCAGCACTACCAAACCTTCTAGGACTAAATATGCATACACCATCCAGATTGAGCCTAGCTATCTGTTTAGTATATTTTTCATAATCATGCTACTCGGTTCGAGCTCCAAAACTCGATTTGAAAACCCAGAGCATCCGCCAAGGCATACCGACACTGAGACATGCTTGTAATTTATCCCCATATCGATTCGCCGTCCAGCGCCAAGCCTCAACATATTTTGGAGTTTTCTTGTTTGCTATCGGAATTCCGATCTAAAATCGAGACCTTTATTGAAGCCCGCTCGTAAACTGCCTATGGTGCAAGTCAGCAGCACGGGAGATGTTACATTGGTTATGTAGACGGCTCAGTCTATTGTTTTTCGGTGCTGTTATAAAAATAATCTTGGGGAGTAGGTTGATCATACTCACAAATCGGGTCGCGCAACTGAGACATATTTAATTTCTATCTTGCCGTCTCTACTGAGAATAACGGGTACGTTTTGACAACGCTGGCTTTTTTTTTTTCCTTTTCGATACTGTCACTATTGTAGGCTATAAAAAAGCCTATAGGCAAGGATATGAGCTGGACTGAGAGACTTTATATTAATTCGAGTATTGGTGGCAGTGAGAATCAAAAGACTGCGGCATCATGTATAAATGGGAAGTAAAGTGGGCTAATAATAATATCGGAGGCGAGTTCATATGTAACCTAACTACATACTCCCCACCTCGATTCCAACATTCGGGATGCGACCATAATATCAGCCATCAGATGTTATAGACAAGTCGCTTGCACGGAGTATGCTTCTTCTGCCTTTTTCTGCAGTCTACCCAATAAGGCTGGAAACCCGGGTTTGAAGATATCTAGGAAGTCGCTGGAAAGACCGCTGGAAAGACCGCTGGAAAGACTTGTAAGTAAGATATTCTAAGGTCCCATAAGCGGCCGTCTAGTCTTGTTATGACATGTTTCGAATCGTCAACTTGAAGATCCACTTGATAGACGGAGCATATATGTTAAATTCCAAGACGATTTGGACATGGGAAAACCCGGGGCAACCTCGTTGAGTTCTCAGAGAAGCTGGAGGCAAGAGACGTGGAAAATTTCTTAGACGAAGGCATTGTTGAGGCGCAACTTAATTTGATGTCACGAAGAACTTGTTGATCGCGGAAAAGGTTTTTTTATGTTGTATATGTACTGCCCTTGGGCTGATTTTCATGGTGCATTATAGCTTTTCATAGGAGGAAGCTAGATGGAATTATGGTGGCTTCCTACTACAGAATGGGTATCCTACATAGACCTCGGGATACCTGCCAATAGCGTGTCCTGTATGACAGTATCACTTTTCAGCGTCTTCTAGTGTTAATCACTTAGCTATGCTCGTAGCTCGCCATTCGCTTTCTCATATAAAACGTGCCCTTTTTATTTTTTATACTGCCAAACTACCTATCAACTCGCAAGGCCTCAGGGGCACCGGGGTTCTTGCATTCTAATTGAAGGGTATTGACAGTGGTACGCGTACCTGCATAACGAGGGATCGGTGATAATGGCTGAGTATTTTGGCGGATCAATGTTTTACAAATAATCGAGCCGCAAACGTTGACAAGAAGACAGTACGGAGTAGATACTTTCGTACATACTACCTGGTAGATTTAGGCCCGATAGAACTTGGGCTACACCTCTGAATTATATAGATCATCAGGAATCCATCACTTTCGGGATCATATCTTGGGAAATATATGTGAAGATTACTTGTGCGACTGGGATGTCAGATCGTCGCAGCTAAGAGACTAGTTCTGCAGGCTAGCCAACGTAGACGAGTCTGCGAGGGGTCATAGACCTTGGCTGCAGGTTTGAATCCAACCTCATCTCTTGAAATTCACTCGTTTGGCCACTTTTCTTCTTCGAGGGGGATACAGCTTGTTGAAATTTGTTCAGTGTATCTTATTTTGCTTTTTTTTTAATTGCCTTTGCGGTTCCTGCGTCTCTGCGACCACCATTTATTGGCTTGCTTGTGTGCCTAGTATGATAGCCAGTATGCTGGCTTCTCCCTATGAAGAAATTCGGAATACCTCTGGACACGCCTTGCCCCGGACTGAAGTGACTGATGTCTCACTGCTATGGAAGGTGGTAGCAGCCTGCTTTGCGGCTTTGCAGCTGGTCGGGTGAGTTTGATATCACGAGATATGAGCTTGACTTGGAAATCAGATGCCTCTGACTAGGAAGCTGCTGTGATTAGGTATATGATGGTGGCTCTGGTAGCTGGCTCCCCTCCCCATGAGTTGCGAATCAATGCTACAGTATCTACAGTCATTGCATTTGTGTTTGTCGGTGCGGCTTATGGTGTATCAGCCCTGATTTTCTTCGCCCAGCGCCACCAAATATTTTTCCTTCTCCAATCAATCTTCATGTAAGTGTTGATAGAAGCTGTGTCTCTCCTATTGGCCACCGGCTAACAATCGCAGCCCATATTCAACGATGAATCTGCTTGCGCTTCTGAATACCCTGTTCCACATCCTCGGACAAAGCCTGCAAATGAACACACTGTTGATTGTGATTATTTGCCTACCCACTACTTTCTCAGTGTGCTACGCTCTCGCTGGAATCTTGATATATCGAGAGTATGGTCGTCACCAAGCGGAGGAAGGCACGCCGCTACTCACTGACGAGGAGATGCAACGTCGCCAGCTGCTTCGTTTGTTGGGGGAACGAAATGTCAGTGCGCCATCACCAGAACTTGTGCGGAATACTTATCGCTTCGATTTACCTGAGGGTGAAACGGCGCAGAAAAACCGGAATAATTTGACTACGTGAAGCGCACTACAGCGTCGGTAATATCGGATATGAAAATGAGGAGAAGGTGTACGAGTAGATGAATGTGAAATTCGATTGCATAGTGTACTATTTCACGTGTGTCTTGTGCACAAAATGTACAATATACGTACAATGTCTTGAGCCCCGGGCTGTGTGTAGATGGGAAATCCCTTGGACCTCGGCTGTTTTTCGCGCCGACCGCATTTAAAGTCCAACCACCGTCATCCCTGAAATTCATTTGGCCTCCCGGTTTTGGATCTCGAATACAAAAATGTCGAAACGCGTGACGATTTTCGATCCGCCCGCGCAGGATCACTCCAAGTCTCTTATCGAAAATGTTCTTGATCTGACGCCAGTCGTGGAACTCGGCCCGGTATGATATCCTTCAATTCCACTGTCGCGAAAAATAAAAAAGAGAAAAGTCATATCTAACAAAACTCTCTCGTTCCTAGGATGTCTTCACCAATACCCGCCCGCTATGGCATCCTCCCGGAGCTCGAGGCATTTACGGCGGCGCCGCAATCGCGCAGTCCCTATCAGCCGCCATGCTGACCGTCCCCGCCGACTACGCCGTCCACAGTATGCACTGCTATTTCGTGCTTGCCGGAGACTCGGAGATTCCAATTCTATATCATGTCGAGCGCGTGCGCGATGGGAGGAGCTTTGTGACCCGAACCGTGCAGGCGCGGCAACGGGGGCGGCCGATCTTCACCACCACCTTGAGCTTCAGCCGGGTCGGCAGTGGTGGCGAGAAGACGGTTCACCATGCCGTATCAAAGCCCGATATCCCATTGCCAGAGGATGCTGAACCGGGAAGTCTGAAAGCCCTCAGCAACGCGGGCGGTGGTCCGTTTGAGTCAAGGAAGGCGGGAATCTTGAACCGTACGTGTCCCTGTCCGCAAGATCCGTGCTTTTCTCGTTGTACTAATCGACCGTCGGAACCACACAGGGACATCCCCCAACCAAGAAGATAAGAAGGTCCGACGATATATTCGTGCCCGCGGCGCAATCTCCGAACAGGGCGGTTATCAGGCACACTTGTCCGCGCTTGCGTATATCACCGATAGCTATTTCATCGGTACCATCACACTCGTCCATGATATCCCACGGTTCTCTTCTCCCGCAGAGCTTGAGAAGCTTTTGAACGCGCTGAAGAACCCATCCGATCTTGACGATGAGGATATCACGCGCGCTCTGAAGGAATTGAAGGAAGAGGAGGCTGCAGAGTTGCGTCGTCGTGTGGAAGGGGCACTGAACAGGGCCACGATGGGCAAAACGGAGGTAGACCACAAAGAGGTTGGTATGATGGTCAGCCTGGACCACTCAATTTACTTCCACAACCCCAGGGCATTCCGTGCCGATGAGTGGATGTTGACGGAAATGGAGAGTCCGTGGGCCGGCGAAGGGCGAGGCCTGGCAATCCAGAAGATCTGGTCTAAGGATGGGGTTCTTATTGCTACTTGCATGCAAGAGGTATGTGTTTATAACTGTATTCTGGAGCTTAGTGCTAACTTGATCATAGGGTGTTGTGCGGTTAAAGCAAGACAAGCCGCCACTGTCGAAGATTTAAAGAGCTTGTGATATAGTATACCCCTACCTTGGCGGAGTGATCTATCTCCTGTCAGCGTGACCTCATTCTTCCTTTCCTTTTACATATTTTCATTCATAGAATTGGGCTTGGTCCCCTCAACTTCGTTGATACTGCTTTGTACTGAAGCTGGCCGATTTCAAGGCCATAGCCACTATAGGAGCATCTTAGAATTCAATGGAAGCCTTGATACATATTTGTCTCTCTTCTCTTCGACCCGAAGACAACAGCCCTCCCAGCTAACAACCTGAATGCAACAATGCCACAGTAGAAATGCACCAACAGAAAACAAAACAACTTTTGAGTCGTGAAACAAAAGGCCAACCCAGTTTTGATCTCCCAGAGCCAAAATGCGATGCAAAGAAAAACGAGGTATCCTACAAAGTTCGCTCAAACCTGAATGCTCTGGCTTTTTTCCTCTTCATTTCCTGTCTTTTCGCCCTCACCAACCCGCTTCTGATAGTATTCCAACACTTTAGCCCCCCAAACATCTCTCCCCTTATACTCACCCACATGATCAGGCCAACTCTTCATTTCCTTGGCCAGATTTTCCAGCTCGGTCATTGGAAGCTCATCTAGTGGCGTGAGATACGTCTTGACGCCGAAGACAATCGCCTCTGTCCGTGGCAGTCGACGGAAAGTCTGTCTCTCGCGGCGGATCAAAATATCTGACGGTAATGGGCTCCTCAACTCTTTCTCGCAGAGGGAGTTGGGCCGATAGAGGATCTCGGTCAGGTTCTCGTTGGGCCCCTTGATTTCTACGAAGAAGTTTGAGCGCTCCATTGGAGAGGATGGGGTTAGCCGAGCAAGGAATCTGGGAATTGAGATTAGTTTGTTGTTTTCCTCAGTGTTGGTCTCGTGCAATTCTGCCCGGTCTGCTTTGAAGATCACTCACTTGCTGACGGAGTTGGCGACTTGCTGGTGCCATAGTGGTACAGGGCCATGCAGTTGAGAGATGGTCCAGCCAATCCTCTGGTTCACTGTCCACCCCGTTGGGAAGAGGCTGGCGCTAGCTGCCCTGTATTGGTGTTAGGATTGGTCAATTGGCTTTGTAGATTGCATTGGTCATACAGGTAGAATTCCCCATCCTCATTCATCATCAAAATGCTGAGATCCTCCATTGTGAGACGAACAGCCGCTTCGAGTGCCTCGGTTAATCCCTCATTGGAGTCGCGCCCACTGACGGTGAATTTGTCGCCAGTCATGCGATTGTCGACGATTTTTCGACCGTCTTGAATTGACATTTCGAACATATTAGGGAATCTCTCGCAGAGAAAATCGGAAACTTCCTCCAATGCCTCCTGGCACGGCTCAATTGACTCTGGCAGACAGCGCAGGACTTCTTCTCTTTTCTCGTGAAGCAATTGAGTCCGTACCCGGTGTTCGTCCATATAATTCTTGTCGAGTGTAAGCCAATTCCGGGCATCAAGTTTGCGGATATCCATCATTACGCGATATCGCTCTCTGCCTTTGATGGGCTGCGCTGGGTACGGTGTCATACGCTTGACGTCGGATGGATTGGAGACATTGGAGCAATGCTTTCCTTTCAAGTGCTGTGACAACCACTGGAGTAGTTGTTTCTGGTGTCGAACTGCGAAAAGAAAGACGAAGATTGGAATTGCAACTAGTGAAAAGGTTGTCATACTTTTCCCATCCGAAGACTCTGCGTATAGATATTTGAAATTTTCTTCTTTCACAGATCAAAACGATGAATCAAGAACTCTCAATGTCAAAGAAAGGTAGAAAGGAAGTAGAAAGGTGCGAACATGATGGACCACGACATAGACTAGACGATATAAATATGATTTTAAGATGGGCTATGAAGTCACCCTCGGAAACAGGCAGCAAAAAAGATCACCCGACGATAATTCACGTCAGCTACACTAGTCCCAGTAAAAAAAAAGGATAGCTCAAAGGTATGGCCGCTGCATTCCACATTCCTCATTGAGCGAAGTTGTGCCTGCGGAACTGCTGTGATACGCTCAGGGATTCCCCGCAAAAAAAAAAGGTCAGAGTTCGCCGGGGAGTACGGCCACATGATCTCAGACCTTTTTTTTTTCGATATTTATTTTTTTGGCAAAAGTTCAAGCGAACTAACATCCAGGGCTGTGCACCAAACAATCATCTCCGAGTGTGTATGAGTGGAGAAGATGACAACCATACGGTCTCTGACTGGTTGCTGATCTCTCTTTACCACTCAGGCAAGAGCACTTAGAAATAACTAGGGCCCATATTTACTCGGCGCACTCTATACTGTGCAGGGCCTCTACGATCTAGACACCGAATGTCCATCTTTAGCTTCAAAGAATCGTCAAGCTCGTTTATACCGTCCGTGCGCAGCCCCATGAACCGCCAGGGCTTGCCGACTCGGGGAAATAACAACCCCCCGAACAATTGGGCTCCGACGGGTATTGTCGGGAAGACAGTTTGCTGGTTCAAAACATAAGGTCCTTGCCAGCTTTTTGTGTGGGTCACTAAGGTCCGAGAGTACCAAATGTTTGATCTGAGTCATGTCCGGCTTCAGCTGTCTGTTAAACGGCCCCAGTCTGGTGTTGACATATGGGATCTGACTGGCCCGGGGATGGGCCGGGGGCCCGATCTAGTTCAGGTGCACATCAGACCCGAGCTAAGTACAAAGTAGATGGGCACATGGATTGAGTCTGACGTATCATAGTAATACCCATTCTACCCCTCGTGTGGGGTGAATATCAAGGGGCTTTTGATTTTCTTTTTTTTTCCCTCTAACGGGTCCGGTTTCTGTCACATCAGTCCCGAATTAAAGATACTAGGATTACTAGAGGTCCGTCGCTTTTCCATGGCTTGACGTTGGGCGAACTACATTGGACATGAACACTAAGACAAACGTCACTAAAAAAAATAGAATCAAGATGTTGTATGTTGTATCACTGGATCACCAGGTCAGAATCTCCTAAAATCTCCTAAAACCTCCTGAATTCCCTTTTTGGAGGCTCCACAGACTCCATCTTTACTATCTGGGGTTCCCGCTGCAACCGCACATCTCCCCCTTTCGCGCAAAGCGCGTTTGCCGCTATTATTTGGCTCGGGCCTATGTTGTATTAACTATCTTTTTATTTTCCGAGTTAATTATTGAGAGAAGAATATCTTCCCTACTCTTCTTTTTTTCGCCTCCCCCGTCATAGTTTCCACCCCCTGTTCATGTTCCAACACAGACCAGGATTGAATCGATCTACAAAGCATACCCGATATTCGCCACCACTCATCGGGAATTTGTCTGCGCATTTTATTCTTAGCTACGGGAAATGCTGTAGTATCCCGTAGTCTGTCCTATGCATCTTTTCACTAATTGACTAATTTTTAATCTAGTACATCCATGCGGACCAATCAATGCTCCCAGCCAGACATAATCCAAACCCTTTTGTAGAGTCTGGACCTTGACTAGATCTTTCGATCCTCGTTGAACTCTTCACACTGGACCTGGATTACAATTAGAATAGAGACCAATGCAAGTCAACCGGGGCTTTGGCAATCGCCTCAACCGTAAGCCTTTTCTTTTTTCTCCTTTGCTTTTTTTTTTTCTTTGTGATCTTCCTCTCGCGCACAGACGTTTAGATCACCTGCAAGTGTTCTCGCTGGTTGAGTTATATGTTCCAAGGTGGATCTCCCGTCTACCCTTTATTTTTTGCATTAGTAGCGCTCCAGCCGAGGAAAGCCTACGAAGTCACACAACATTTAGGGGAATAATACCTTCATTGGGTATTATGTGGACTTGACAGGGCTGGGCATTGGTCATACAGATTGTTTTTGAATGAGCCACCTTTTGACTGATCACATGGTTATTTTATGGTTCGGCCTTCCGGAGTAGAGGATGTTCATTTTGGATATTTTGAGCAAGGGGTCATTTCTCTATTCGTCGAACAGCAAGTAGTCGTGTTTTCCCTCCAAAAAATTTGTTTATAATTTCTTCCCCAGGCCGAAAGATGCAATTGACAGTGTCAAGTGTTGGGAAGTATTTCGGATGGACGGAAACAAGAAAAGTCAGGCGCTTGCTTATACGGTTCTGTCATGTCATCGCGATAGCCCTTTTGAATGTTTTCTTTTTTTTTTGACTTCTCCACCTCTTGTTAGTATTGTAGTTAAAGTGTACGAAGCTTGAGCCGCAAAATATTACATGTAGATGGGAGAAAACGTGTGATATCCAAGTGATTCCAGCTTACTAAATGCCCCGGAGTCTAAAAATAACCTCACTTTACGATCTTGGCTAAGAGTCACCTGAGTCTCCCCTCTACCGTCATGTTAACAAGCTCTCTGTTTGCTTCAAGTTCGTATGGTCTATTTGTAAGCCCTTTCAATTCATCCCAAGGTCCTCTGGTAGGCAATTGCTAACCTGCCACAATCTCGTGAACGGATATCTTCTGCTAACCAGACCCAATGGCTGATCTCGAGAGAAACAGGCTGAAGAACCTCATCGGCTGGGTCATCCGCATTCTAGGAGCTCTTTTTCTCGTCCACAGCTTAGCGCTGACGGGTTTGGATCATATTCTCTTTAGCATTTTAGTGGTATGTCACCTTGATAGGGAAACAGAGGAACGTTGAGTTCTTATGCCTGAACAAGGGCTTCACATAGAGTTCTCAGTGAGATCAGCTCTTGATAATATTTTCAATGATCATCCTTTGGATCCGAAGCCCAATTATTAAGGTACAATTCAGCAATCCGTTAACGGAGACTTGGATCCTGGGAAGTCTATCTAGGAAGTCATACAGGATGTTTGATATGAAATCTCAGACTAGGGCACGTACACTAGCAATAATATGATAATAACACATGCGTTCAGCCTTACGATTGGTAGTCAAACTTAGTACAAGTGTATCGTTGTTCCATTTTTGATAGCGATACTTGGTGTAGGCAAAGCATACCGCCACATCACCCTGCTTAATTTGAGACGTAAATTCATTCACTTTCTCTGGTACTCGACATCAAGATGGGACGAGGAGGTTAAATGAAATGTGTGGACTTAAAGTCCTCGAAACCAGGAGCAGAAGTCATGTTGGAGAAAGTTGGGACCTAGTTCAAATTCTAGGAATGTTAGACAGACAGATGATTCCTGATTGAGGTCCAAGAGGGGCTCAGCAAGGTCATTCTGAGTGTCTCATGCCCATAATATCGGATTGAGCCTTTCACAGATATTGCCCTCTATCTTCCTTCCGAGATTCCTTTCATCGCTACCGTATAGTGCATAGCTACTGGTTTAGCCAAAGTGCCTAGTAGTAACTATGAGCTGCAATATTTCCTGTCGGTTCGGCGGCTGACTATCGAGCTATAGTTTGCAATTGCTTTATACTAATAATAGTGTGACTTTTGGATTACACAAAGTTGGCAATATTGGGTTCAAGCGTGAGAAGGTGAGAGAGAATAAATAAAATTCATTAAGACTAGACTAAAAGGTCATTCTAGTAGAAGATACCAAATTTATGAGTATCAAGCAACGCTCGCCTGGTGCAATCTCTGGTCCCTGGTATAAAGTATAGTGAGACGTCTCAGAATAAGGGAACATCAAGTAAGATATAAATTAGAAGGGACTTATGTGTGTTCCTCCTTTCGACAGGAGCGAGGTTCGAAGCAATCGGTGGATGTTCTGTGTGGCTTTAACATTAGAGAATAAGGATATGGTCATGTCACTCGCCTCGTGAGAAGGAAATCAAAAACTTTTGAATCGCCAAACCGATGAAATCAAAAAGAAACAAGAAAGCAAGAGGAACAGATGTTCCAACATGCATAAAGTCTTTGTCGAGAGAATGCTCAATGAGTAAATCGTGAGAAGCACTCAACCTCAAAGACCCAATCACTGATCATTTTCAACAAATAATCGACGCTTTGTCGGTGCGAGAAGTATCAATCCTCGTCATCGAGATACCAGTATTCCGAGACGGGATAGGCGCAAGGGTGTCATCACCGTACGCCAGGCGATCCTCTCTCTCCAGCTCCAATTTTTCAGCCTCCTTAGCACGCTTGAGCTCCTGGCAGAACTTGCTATTTGCTCTGATGCGGTCACCGTAGCGAATAAAAGCAAACGGGATCACCGAGACACCGAGACTAAGGAAGGCGATCGTACTGCAGGCCCAAGGCACGCCGAGCCGGTTGAACATCGGCTTGGCTGCTAGTGGGAGCACAGCTCCCAGGATACTTCGTGTGCAACTTGCGGCGGATTGTGCACTGGCGGAAAGGGTCTCGTAGGCATCAGTCAGGTAGTTCAGCATAGCCATGAAAATTAAGAGGTAGCCCATTCCGAATGGGATGCCAGAGAGGAAGGGTACAACCCAATGGATGTTCGGCGAGGCTGTCCAGCCTACCCAGAAAAGAGATATCACATATAAGGGTCCGCCAAGGCAGGCGAGAGGGAGTCTGCGGTATTCCTCGACGAAGGCCCAGCTGGCATTGCGAGCCTTTGCCCTGGCTAGGTAGCCGTCGTACCATATGAAGACTCCACAGGCAAGGACAGCGCCGATTCCGACTGTGTGAATGTTAGAATATAACATTTTTTGGTTTAGGGGCACGACCGTATGAATTTACTTACTAGGTAGAAACATCAAGCCAGACACACCAGGGCTCATCTTGTAGATACCTACATGATTTGTATCAGTGTCTGTCGCCAACACGGTTCTGCACACGCTAGGGTAGATCACCAACCTTGGAAGATGATTGGATATGCCTCAAAGTAGAGGTAGAAAATTGCGTATGCCAAAGCAAGATACAACGAAGTCAGAGAAACAATATACTCGTGAATAATCATGCGGAAGGGTCGTGAGATCGTGATAAGAAGCATTTCTCGCAGATTGCGACTTTGAACATCCAATGGCGAGACGATACTTGAATTGCCGGTGTCTTTGCGTAGTTTGTGTGCACGACGTTTCAGAATGACCGGGGCATAAGTCTCAGGCATGAAGATAACCAATGGCAAGCTAGCGCCTGACAGGATGAGTCCAATCCAAAAGCACCAACGCCAGCTGACAACTGCCACGAAGCCAGATAGCCAAGGTCCGATGATTGGCCCGAAGGTTGTACACTATTAGAGAATCAGCTGTCAGATTCAACAACCCCAGTCGAGTGAATGCAGCAAGCTTACAGCCATGAAATAAGCCATCAGGCGGCCTCGCAGTGTTGGGTCGTCATGAACGTCGGCAAACAATCCGCCAACAGTAGCGATAGGCGCCGACGCAACCATCCCATTGAATAATCGAAAGACAAGCAGAGATGCATATGAATCTGCAACAGCGCACGCCAGCGTGAATATCATGAACAAAACATAAGCGATGAGCAAGGGTGGCTTCCGGCCAAAATACTCGGAGCTAGGGCCCCATAGCAATGGTCCTAAAATGTAGCCGATAAGGAAGATGGAGATGGGCAAAACGAGGGCTGTTTCGTTGGTAATGTCGAATTCTTCGGCGATTTGGGGGATGGCATTGCTGCAAATCGACGAGCCGATAGTGCTGTTCATGACCTGCATGACACCAGATGCGAGAACAAGAAACTTCCTCCTCTGTGGGACAAATCAGTACTATTTCCCTCGCATTGCTTCCTTATACCGGACACTATCTCACTTACCGTTCTCCAGTTGACAGGGTTGTCTGGGTCACTAGGCCCAAATGAAACGATTGTTTTGGAAGCCACTTGGCGGAATCTAGAATACGAAGGGTTTTCATAACGTTCTTGAATCGGCTCATGGTCGACTTCTGAGTCTCGATCTTCAGAGTCATGGGAGTGTTGTGAATCATGAGAAGAAGCCACTACGTGCTCTTTATAACAACTTCAGTATTTTGAACTCCTAATGATATACAACATATAACATGAAAAGCACCGACTTCGACAAAAGAAATAGGTGACTAACCTGTTGCTGACATGACCTTCTGCACATTTTCCTCGGCAGCGCCATGATCGGGCATCTTGTAGACCTGAACTCGCCAAAATGGACAATTTGTACGCAAAGATGAAGATCCAGGCGGGAAGCAATGATTATTAAAGGTTCAAGTTTGAAGAAGAAGAAAAAAGCCGCGCTCACAAAATGCCAGTGGATGTTTGACTCAGAGAAATAAGTCTTATTTAATGTGGATTCAACTCCACATCCACGGAGCAATCTCTGATGGTACGCCCTAGCTTTGACAAATCGAGTATGTACGCGAGTCCAGTTTGAAAAATACGGCGAGAACTCTAGCCTTCCCTGTCAAATTAGGCATTTAGTGATGATGATCAGCATCCCTGACTCGGGTAGAACGGCTCCTCCCCAGCTGTTTGGGCGAGAAAACGGGAGCTAAGAAGCTGCAACTTGCTAAAGTGGCAACTGGAAATGTGACTGTACGGGATATCACATGGAATCTCGCATAGAAGACCGATTTTTCAATACCTTCATAGACTAAAACATGCCGCTTGCGAAACTATGAGGGCAATCCAAGCCCACACATAAAAATTTTGGAGCAAATACCTTGACCGCATGCATCCAGTCCTTGGGATACTGAATTCTTCAATGTGTAATTAGGGGTGAAGACCCTGCCGATCTATCGATTGGTCTTGCATTAGCAATTGCGCCAGATAGCTTTCCCTGTTGTAAATTAGGACGAATGGGGCAAGCTGTTTGGGCTGACGAGCAGTTGTTCCCATGATGTGCGTAATTTGCGCTGCGTAATTGAGCCGATCAAGCTAGAGCCAATTTTTACTAGGAGGAAGCTCCCTGCAGCGGGGACGCCAATGCTGGGGACAACGGGAACGGGTATTCCACACAGCGTGGGTTCTCAACTTTTTTTTTCTATTTCTCGGAGGAAGGATCCGAAATCGCTCCACATCTATTGTACGGAGTAAAGCAAACGACGCCGTTTCAGGGGTATGCCTCGACTCCGTAGTTTTTTGTCAATTTGGGCAGCTCATTCCTCGGATGTTGGGCTGGTGTCGGCTAAGCTAAAATTCCCCGGTATCATTTCCGGTTGCGTGCTGTGGGTTCGGCTTTCTGGCCGATATGCCCTGGCCTCCCACGAGTCATGAGGACAAAATTTGGATGGATTTTATACGGCCAAAAAGCCTAATGGAAAATATTCTCCAGAAATACATTGAGTAATGAGTGTGGGCATCAAATGCAAAAGTTTTGTCAAGGTGAACACCGGGTTTGATGTCCGACGTCGGGACACATCTGCCCCACATAAAATATTTTGATTGGTTGATGATGCTGTTTGTTTTCTATAAAAAAAATCTGACAGAGGAAACCATCGAGTATAACAATCCTGGAACATCTAGAGACCAATATTACTATATCTTTGACTATCGTAATATTCCGAGGATTGCGCGTAATATATTGGGAGGCAATCTATACGAATTTGACTTTTGACCGTTAGTCTATGGTTTGCGCTGTCCGTTTCCAGTCATCCTTATAGCTACAACACCAATAAGAGCGGGAGAAGACACCTAAAAAGACAGGCTGAAACGATTCAGATACTCATTCCAATATGCGCAATCCTCGGAATATTGCGATATGCAGCCTCAAGGTGCCTCGAAAATTCCCTGAATCCTGCTCAATTCCGACAGACATATGATGACAGAATTTTCAACAGCCACAAGCATGAAAGCTCAATATAGATTTGTATCCACAGATAATCACGACATTATTGCGCATGATTTCGCACAAGCTGTTTATGTTTCCGTTGCTAATATGAAATGAGTAGTCAATAATTTGTAGAATCTCAATACCGGATCTCAGAACACCAAACTTCAACCACTTCAACGAGTCTTGGTGGCTGGGACTTAAAATGCCGTTTCATAGGATTTCTCCCATCCGCTCGGCAGCCCCATTGGTTCCCCGAGAGGGTATAGAATTCGGGACGCATAAGTATAGGAAACGTTCCTCTGCACGATGGCTCGGACTGCGGCTCCAATTTCTTCCATATCAGATTGTCCTTGCGGAGACACTGCCAATGGTGTTGGTTAGCGGGCACGTGCCATTCGAAGCCCTGTATCATGAGTGTACTTTTAGAGGGATACCAAGATGACTGCTTCTCATCGAGTTTGATAGTAGCCACTCAACATGAAGATCATCAGCTCATAGTTTGAATTGTATGGAATAAGGGAGTTAAAATGAGTCTCGATCTCTCGCCACTTCTTGACCTCAAACAGCGGCTTAGGGATGGCAGCATTTGATCGAGGTTTGTGGCTCTGGGTCAATCAAGGTCACAGTGCTGTAAAGAAAGTAAGAATGGCATTTTGCAATGCTCAAACGGATCACGGTCTTCAAAATCAGAGCTGGGTGGAACTGACGAGGAACATTGACACCGGCTGTTGTGCGAGATACATTGGCCTGTGAAGATTATTAGAAGCACTATTCCTGTATGGAAACAACAAACATGCTCTAGTTCTGAAAGCCAAGATTAACATTTGAATCAACATCCACCGTCCTAATGATGAGGATGGATAGTTCATATGCTTGCCTCTTTATGAAGCTTTGCTTGTGTAGGCTATCGCAGCACCGTGTCAACTACCCCAGGGCACAGCCATTCTTCCAGCGAGCTTCGCAGATTTTCAATGCAGCGAATCACTTTCAACAGTTGCATATGTATTCAATGCGCGAATTCCGCGCTACAATAGCTTCAGGTAGAGCATGAGAGATCCGCGGCGTCTATTAGAAATGCACAAACATATCGCATCGTACGAGCCATAGACAAATCCATCCGCGCCATTTGCCGCAAGAGTGACTAAAGGAAATTTGGACTTCTGGGGTCTAGATTCGTAGAAAAGCATCAATTCCTGTAATATGACTAAACAGAGTTCCCAATCTGGAAATGCCTCAAAATGGCGGCCTTGGCTAGTAGCAAATTATAAATACGCTTCCACAGTGGAGAAGTGGCTTGTGCAAGAAGAAAATTTGCTGCCAAGTGACCCTTTTCGTGATTCTTTATACTATTGCTTAAAATAGACATTCCTAGAGAGATTCTATATTGATATAGCTGTACTAAGTCTCACTTCTCAATCTCCTCCATTCTCCGCTTCGCGTCCTTTGCTGCTGTTCTCACTTCATCTCGAATTCCAGCTTCTATTGTGACCAACTCCCCAAATCTTTGCTTCCAAAGCTGCCACCTCTCCTTACAAAACCCATGTTGACCTTTCCAGAGCGGGCCTCCTTTTCCAAGAGCGCCGTCAAATCGTTCATCCCATTTATAGATGTCGGCCCCGAGGATACTGATCCACGCAGCAGCGGCAGGAATCAGTGCTTCTAGATTTCTCTCGGAAGATTGATCTGCTGGTGTCTCCAGTGCTTCGCGCAGAGTGATCAATGCAAACCAGGAATATGCAAAAACAGATTCTTGCGTCGCCATCAAACGTGCGGTGAATTTGTCTCTGTTGATGATTTGCGCGATTGCGTTTTGACGAGACTCGGGAGGTCCAGCAGGTACGCTTGCATTCCATTCGTCGCGGACTTGCCAGCCAAGCATTGGTAGGTCTTTCCAGACTTGCATATCGTGGAGCACAATGGAATCTCCGTTCGATGTTTTCGCATCCGGGAGTTTCGAAAGTTGAACTAGCATATTGACGAGTCGATCATGATGTTCCGGAAATTTGTAGGCACACTTGAATACCAAGGTCCATAAGCTAGTGATTCCCTCTTCAGGCCCAGAGTCGTTTGCCAATGAGATTGAAGCTAAATATTCAGCGGCTTTTTGTGCAGAGATCCCGTCATTGAACAGATCTTGCAAGATGGCAAAGCGAGGGGCAAAAATATCATCTGTGATGGCGACCATTTTGGGGGTCAGGAACGTATGGTAAAAGGCAGTTGCAGTGTGTTAATTTTCTCGACCCATGAACCAGGAATTTATCTCTTATCACCCATCGAGAAACTTGGTCATATCGAAGCTCATCCCATAATGGCCTCGTGGCCTTTATCTGTCGATCTCATTGGTTCTGATTTCCAAGGTTGCATAACTTCATCTAAAATTTTAGTAGGTTGATAGTCCTGAGCGCGCTAAGCCAGGGTTTTACGGTAGGGGCTTTGGTCCACAACTTGGCTCTCAGTATTTATTGCGTGACTAAAAGACAAAAGGTTGACAAAGGGTGCAAAGACGTTACGAAAGGCGCGAGAAGGGAAAAATGATATTTGCGAGACCTCGGGAGGCTAAGTGGGCTTGTGCGAATCTTTTGATGTCATCTACCTTGGCTTTAGATCTAATAAAGTACCATAGTCAGATAGTATTTCATAAGTTGCATGAATTATACGAATAGGTGTAGATATAAATCATTTTCAAGTTACCATCAGAATATATACAATATGTATAATATGCAATCCTACAATATATAGATCATAGCAAGGTACAAATATCCACCTTGAATATGGCACTGGCAGACTACGTGTCCACTGTGACGTAGTGGCTGTAATAATCTTCCAATTACGTCGGATATTTCTCTATGTACAATCTTTGTGATGATCCTCATCTATCACGATGCTACAACATATATATGGGTTGAAACATGCTCCTTGATTCAATCTAATGCCTAGAACTAACATCTATTTTGTACTTGAAATGAGACATCAAATCCCTGTTGCGGTTCCTTATCCCGCCTATTTCCGGCAATGGACTCCAACTAGAACGTCTAATAGTCAACACTCAACCTCAATTTGAGTATTGACAATTAGACCCCTTCAATTAACAATTGGCTATGCCTATCAAACAAAATAGAAGATGATTGCGAATAGAACGCTGGTTGACCGGGCGATCGGAGGTTAGTGGCTACCGAGCGGCTCCCGCATTGGCGAAAAGTTTTCGGGTTCGGCCCCATCCCTTTCAAATCCTTTCTTCTTCTCTTCCACTCCCCAAAGGCTTCAATTCTTCCACCCTCTCCTCTCTTAACGTTTTTCTTTGCGTTATTTCACATCCATCAAAATGGCCGCCCCTATCGCCCCCAAGCAGGAGATGAGTGCTCTGAACCTGGTAAGTCTTTTGAGCAATTCTGAACCTCCATCTTGACTGACGCGATATTTTACCCTTATAGTACTCTCGCTTCGCCTTTGCTGGTGCCATGTGCTGCGCTATCACTCACGGTGCTGCCACTCCCCTCGATGTGTAAGTCTCTGAAACTCCAGTGCGCGATCAAGAATTTCCGCTCATATCCGATCCACAGCGTCAAGACCCGTATCCAGCTTGACCCCGTCACCTACAACCGCGGTATGCTCGGTGGTTTCCGCCAGGTCATCCAGAACGAGGGTGCTGGCGCTCTCCTGACTGGTTTCGGTCCTACCGCCGCCGGTTACTTCCTCCAGGGTGCCTTCAAGTTCGGTGGATACGAGTTCTTCAAGCAGCAGTCCATCAACGCCCTTGGCTACGAGACTGCCAAGAACAACCGCACCGCCGTCTACCTCGCCTCCGCCGGTGCCGCTGAGTTCATCGCCGATATCGCCCTGTGCCCTCTCGAGGCCACCCGTATCCGTCTTGTTTCCCAGCCTACCTTCGCCAGCGGTCTCCTCCCTGCCATGACCCGCATCCTCAAGGAGGAGGGCATTGGTGCCTTCTACTCTGGATTCGGACCCATCCTCTTCAAGCAGTACGTTTTTTTCCCCTTTGATACATGTTTCACAGCAATCCCATTAACTCAATTCCAGGGTCCCCTACACCATGGCCAAGTTCGTCGTCTTCGAGAAGGTCTCCGAGGCCATCCTCGCCAACGTCAACAAGGAGACTCTCTCCGACTCCGGAAAGACCGGTATCAACCTCGGCTCCGGTCTCATCGCCGGTCTCGCCGCCGCCATCATCTCCCAGCCCGCCGATACCATGCTCTCCAAGATCAACAAGACCCAGGGTGCTCCTGGTGAGGGTACCGTCACCCGTCTGATCAAGATTGCCAAGGAGCTCGGTATCCGTGGCTCTTACGGTGGTATTGGTGCCCGTCTCTTCATGGTTGGCTCCATCACCGCCGGTCAGTTCGCTATCTACGGTGACATCAAGCGCATGCTCGGTGCCACTGGTGGTGTTGAGATTGGTAAATAAATGACTCGAGTCTAATATGCTCGGGAGGATTATAGAGACTACCCTTAGAATTCTTTTTGTTTTACGCCTTGTCCATCCCCCACACATGATGTACAATATTCTGTCTCGGTTTCCTTTCAAGAACAAGCTCGTCTTTTTGTCACATTTACAATCATTCCCAGTTCTCAAGTAAAGTGTAATAGCCTTAGATCATTGTAGTGATTCTTGTTTATGTGTTGATGTCTTACGGTACAAGACACTCGGTCTGAAAAGGCAGATTGAGAGGTGCGGGACTGCGAGACCAGCAATGAGGCTAGACTTGGCAGATCATGTTGTCATCGGAGAAAGCCTCCTTGTTTGGCCTGGAGAGGGTGGATCTAAACATGTATAGAGCAAACAATATGGGGTAGAGAGAAAAGTTGAGCAAAGAAAACCTACAACACGACTATAAGAGAACAGTTGGGTCTTACGATATAAGAATAACCCCAAAAGAGGAGGTCCAGTGATGGGCAACGCCTTGTCGCTTGCGACAGCGCCATGTCGCCAGCTTGGCCACGAGCCCATTCCCAAAGAGCTTAGGTAGTCAGACTCGAATTGGTATTCATGAAACAAACACAGCTACACATCGCATTACTTCAAATGGCCATTAAAGAGCAATATCCCTCACAGAGAATCCATCCACTCCCAGGCCATCCTCCTTCTCTACCACAAAGGAATGATATCCGGTATAATATGCATATCCTTCGACTGAGACTCGAACACTCTGTTGATGTTCTCCACGTGTGTCTCCATCATCAAAAACGGAGCCAACGAACCCAGAAAGACCTCTATAAGCACGGGTCACCAATGAATTATAGATCCTCTTCTCGCCCTTAAGCAAAGACCCTTTGGCATGTGCGAGAGCCACTCTCGCAGCGACACAGCTTCCAGTGGGGGACCGGTCAATCTGCTGATTCGCAAAGAAACAGAGCCCCGTCTCCTCGCTACTCACATTCAGCTGCGCACGAGCGGCCGCCGTCCCCTCCGAGGCACTAACATGTCCCAGTCGGGTATCTGTGATCATGATACCGTACAAGAACCCTTCTTCAGCAGTTCGAATATCTTGAGTGAGATATTTCAAGTCTGGATTTGTGACCACCGCCTCCTTGAGCAACTTCGTCGCATGGTCCATCTCCTGTAACTTAACCGCACCAAGACCACTAGGGAATCCCAATTCCTCGGCACTAATCATACAATAGTACGCACCACCATAAGCAAAATCAACTGTGACAGTAGTCTTGTCATGAAGCTCAGCCCAACGGTATTTCTCGGGTACAGGGACCTGCAAGGAGATAGCCGTAGCAAACGACGGCACAGACACGAAAGAAACAGGCCGCGACGCATCTGACTTCCCACACGCCAAGGTGGGGACAGTCACCTCCACCACCCCACATGGCACATGCAGATTAAGAGTCGTTGTCTGGGATATGGGATCATGTTTCAATTCCTTCCGACGAGGAAATACCTTCTCGTCAACGTCGACAAGGAACCGACCCAGCGCGATCGTCGCATGTCCGCACATGGTCGAGAATCCCTCATTGTGCATGAACAGAACACCTATATGGGCTTCTCCAGATGTGACAAGCTCAGTTTCAGGTCGTAAAATCGCACCGTACATGTCGTAGTGGCCGCGTGGTTCGAGCATGAGTACACGGCGGAATTCGTCAAATTTCGATTTTGCTTGCGCTCGTTGTTCAAGGAGTCTACCTGCTAGAGGTGGAATACCGTCCCATACAATTCGTGTTGGCTCTCCTGCTGTGTGCATTTCGACGCAGGTTATCGGTTTGATGGGACCTGGTGCTTGGAGGGGTTGTGGGATTTCCATTTTGTGGGAGGGGTACTGGGAAGGAATTTTGGGGGATTCAGATTCTTGAGAAGCGAGTTTCTGTTCAGGTCGATGCGGATTGACATTGCTTTTATATGGGTTCTCGAGGTCGGAATGCGGCCCCGACAGTTCTAGATACCGCTTATCCTTTACCCGAGCAGGCAAGTGTAGGTGCTTGTCAAATCAAGGGCGCACCAACCGTTCTTAATTTATCCTCCTTTAGGTGCTTCATTTTTGCACGTGTGTATTTACTTGCGTTAATTATCATACAAATGTGCTTCTGCTCATATCTGGAGTTTTGGATGTTGGAGGCGTTCTATCCAACTCCGTTTTAGTTTATCAATCACTACCAAGATCATGGAGACCTAGTATCTTCTCCATTTTGGCACAGTTGTTTGGATTTAACCAAAGATCAATGGAAAGACCAGACTTGAAACAGCTTGGTGTCCACATTCTGTCTTAGTGCTCTGTTTTTCGCTTGGGGCGCCCTGTAAAGCTACTAAAAACTGACATGTTTGGATTAGTCGAGGGCTTCCTTCAACTTCTGTCCTCAGCTATGCATCTGATGCATTTCTATTTCTACGAACTTTGATCCTGGGTCTCTCGATTGGAAATATCAGCACATTCTCCTCGGTGTCTACTCCTCCACGGGCTTGCCATTTGATGGGTGGACATCGTTTCTGGTTGGAATATGGCTGCATTTTGGCTGGAATCATGCCGCTCTAGTCTTCCTTGGGCTCAGACATTCCAAGGAGACCAATGGAACATAAGTAATGGCTAAGCCAACGAGGGGGTCTCGACTAAACAGTACTGAGCCCATACATGCTTTAGGGGACTGTGTGGGGGCTGACGAGCTCCTTGGGTTCCAGCGGACCTATTGACTGAAATGCATAACCTTAACCTTTTATGTCTGATCATAGGAAATTCGTGACGTTTTAGAGGGTATATCCTGGCCAATAAAGACCCATCCTATACCTTGGCGAATAACAGTGTGCTTTTCGAAGTCCCTAGTATGCTTGTGTTGTTCTTTAAGAATCCACAGATATAGATATCATAATTTGCGTGTGAGATTCTGACAACTATTGGTATACTAAGAGTGCTTCGATGGGAATATATTTCGATAATAGGTCAGCTCACAACATAATTTCCGGGTTCTACTCCGTATAACAGCGGGACGTAATTCAACTCCACGCCACACGGCAACACATAGCCGGGCTTTTACTATATCTCATCTCTGGACACCATGAGAGGCATCTTGCTTTTTTCCCTTGCTCTCGGTAACTCGGCAGTCATCAAAAACTAAAAACGCCACTCAGCCACAATACCCTTCATGTAGTTGAACCACCATCTTCAAATCTTGACCAGCAATGGAGCAAAAGCAAAAAAATTGACCGACGCAGGGATCGAACCTGCAATCTCTTGATTCGTAGTCAAGCGCCTTGCCATTGGGCCAGCCGGCCTGTTGTATGGTAGTCTTGCCCAAATGTGCATTATGAGTGGAGGCAAACTTTTTAGGGCAAGACCCACTTATAATAGCCGCATTGGGATTTTTGTCGTTCTGAGAGCCCATTATTCCACTAATTGTGGGTACATCACATATCCAAACAACATTAAGTGCCGGCCAATGTTAAGTAGGTTCAAGTCTTGATGAGTAAAAATATTTTGTGCATCATACTTGGCCTTTCTAGCGGATTCATCCATGTGGAAGAGCCCTGGACGACTGCGGCTTGCTTGTGTCCCGAGGAGCCAGGCATATATTTCCTTTATGATGTTTTAATTCATAAGTGCGCCAAGATACATTATGAGGAGGGGGCAGGAAGCAGCCCTAGGTGAAAAGATGCTATAGAAACAGTAATATGCAACCCCCGTCTTGGGCTACCATTTACAGTCTCCGGCTACTCCTGGGGGTGAGAAACTGTCTACTAAGCACGATGGCGGGATACTGGGTGGTTATGTACTTCAGGAATTTCAATTATGCTACTTGGCCATTGTAACATCTTCCCCATGTGTGCTGAATTGGGCATGTTGGGTGTGATAACTGTCGCCGGGAGATCGACTGACAGTTCACACTCATACATGCACATATATATATATACGCACCATATCATCATTGAGCTCAGATGTAGGACCTAAAAATACCACCAAGCCCGTACACCCAAGCCCACAGCAAGGAATAGTCTGACCAGCGAGTCAAGCTTCACCGGAGACCATGCCGTGAAAGCAACCTACTGCGAAGTTGCCTCGGTAGGTGCAGGCACAGAGACCATATACTGTGAGGTTGCACGGATGCCAAAATGTACATATAGTATCCTCTGCTATATCTTGGTCCTTTCAAATATCTTACTCGTAAAAACTAGTTAGATTTCATCTAATGGATGTTCTTCTTGACACCACCTGACAACCGGCGGTACAAAGATTTGATGCGCGATATACTAACATCACTCCTATGGCGGTCTCGACACAGCTTCCCATGCACCCATTGCTGGCCATCTACAATTCAATTCCTATCGAGAATAAAAAAAAAAACACATCAAAGTTCTCATATCATATCTACTATGGCATATATATCTCTCTCTAATCTTCTACATCCGTTCATCAATGCACTTCAAGGTCTCCATTTTCCAGACCTCGCGGACATGAAGGTAATCCTAGCTCACATACACAATGCAACAAGCATATTATAGGTCTAGTTTGCGGAGAGAAACATGAGCTCAATGTCGTGAAAAGTACCAAAAAAAAGAACTCCGTTGCAAACCGAGATAGATACATACATTCATCGACAGATGAGGCAAAAAATGCTCACACTCGGAGTCGAACCGAGGATCTCATCATTACTAGTGATGCGCTTTACCACTAAGCCATGCGAGCTTTGATTGGTGGAATATGTCCTCCTTGGAACTATCAAGGATACATAAAATCACATCCAATATGTTGGCTCATGTCCTTGGAAAATACGGTGGTTTATGATTGTCGGGAAGTCAATTGGATTTTGTTGTTCATGTAGAATCAAATTTTTTTTGTGGCCAACATTCGGCCAATCAAACACGTGGAGCTGATCCACATCAACATCTCTAGATCTATACGGAGTATACATGAATGTGTAGTAGGTCTGTAGGTGGTCCATATTGCTTGAGGGCTGTCCTAAAACGATATCAAACAGAAAAGCAAGGGAATAAAGCGTAAAGCTACTCATATTTTGTAACTGGCGTTAAGCTCCACTCGAGACAAGCAGGGAAATTCAGATACTGTGTAAATATTACATTCCTCCTCAGGGTTAGCAATTGAAAACCTACCGACAGCACCCTGGAACAGACCACAGATCTAAAGACATAGAAGATCCAGCCATCGAGATAGATACATAGAAGCCCTGAAATCTCCAGTAGAGAGTTTTCCCAATTGCCTTCCTTCATCTCAAGAAAAAAGTAGTTATAAGGCACCTATTTCATTCTGACCCTTATACACTACAACAAAACTATAAGACTTCGTATACAATTCACTCCTACTAGCTTTTGCCCTGTGCAATCTCCTTTGCAGCCTCTTAAATTCCATACTTCACCCCACACTACCGCTTCGCTTTCAATGTTGGCCCCGTAGCTTCTACTCTCAATGCAGCTAAATCAATAAGCCTGCAGACCATGGGAAGAACCTAGCCTTCCTATACCAATACCGTCCACTCATATGAACCTCGAAGTTTCTCACCATCATTGCACAAGTCTCCCATCTCCTTACCGGCCGTTAAGTCAACCCGTTTCCTCGGAGGACGTGCCTAACATTAGATCCCAAAGTATTATGATGAGCATCTCTCAGGCCATATATCCAGTAATCGTGTCTGGCACCCAAGTATTCATATTGCTGATCGTAAATGGCTTTAGGGTTATATAGCTCAGAATGAACAACGCAGCATCCAATCAGCTCGCATGGCTTAGTGGTAAAGCGCATCACTAGTAATGATGAGATCCTCGGTTCGACTCCGAGTGTGAGCATTCTTTTTTTGCTTATGGCTTGTTCACTTACTTGGTACTGATATTTCTTTTCCCCTATTTATGTGGACCGCTTGAGTGCCGCTATCTTTTTATTGGCCGGTGGCAGTCTCACCCCCACACTAAGAGGCAATATCCATGAATATGTATATCCCTACTCCCTGTACAGTACAGAGTATGTATGCATTGCAGTAACAAGAGTAGGCGGTTGCTTTTGTGCCCTAAGGATGTCTTACAAGGCTATTGAGTGATCTTCCTAGCGATCTTCTCAGTGGGCTTCTCAGATAATCTGTAAAGATATCTTCTCAAGCCTTATTCCTCCCCTTCCAGTCTCATGGGCAAACGGCAGAAGAAGGCGAGAAAAGAATACCTTGTGCAAGATAATTTCTTATGTGTACGGAGTAGCCCTTTGCGATTGACGATTGACGATTGACAATTGACGATTGACGATGTAGAAAAGATCTGTACAGTTTGTTCTTTTTTTTTTTTTTTTTCGCCTTCTCACTTTTTGAGCTTGAACCAAGAAGAAAGGTATTATATAAGAAAAATATATGAAAATACTACAAGACTACCAAAGAGACATGACGAGGCTGGATAAGTGACCAACTATCCTTGTCGATATAGGTTGAGTGGAGGCTTTTAACCCCGAATCAGCAACTGAAAAGAAGAGTTGTTCTCTCACATTTCTGGTCTCAACGATACATACTAGTACATAGGACGTGGGCGGAGCACACAAATTGATTCCAAGGTAATTTTGATATCACATGACAAAAAAGTCAATTTGTTGAAATGAAATCTGGATCCATTCCACTTGCCGGTACACATAGCAAGCTCGCATGGCTTAGTGGTAAAGCGCATCACTAGTAATGATGAGATCCTCGGTTCGACTCCGAGTGTGAGCATTTCTTTTTTGTCGACCGAGAATCGGTACACTTTTGAGGTTGGGCAGAGACGGGGTTAAGCGACTAATAATCATCTAGATGGAGAAGCGAGCGAAGATCTGATTTTTGAACAGCAGTGACAAGCCAACTATCTAGACCTTAGCTGGTTTAGTTAAAATCAAAACAAAAGAAAAAATATTCATACACAAAATTCTGCTATAGTACCGACATCTAGTCTATCACGAAATCTATTCCAAATTGGCGCATGAAAAATCTTACTCATTCGAGCGACATTTAGGAGACTGAACTGAGTAAGTAACAGGCGGTAGGAACAGTCCATTGGATTAGCCTACTCCCGCTTTCAGACAAGAGCCAAGACTCCAAGTAAAGTTCATTGTCCTGAAGATTGACATGAGCAATGTCCTCTTCAAACCGCTTGGGGCTCCCCACAAATTTATAAGTGCCTCCAGTATGAAATTATGGTTTTCCTAGGACCTGTCACGCTTGCAGCGTGGGAATTTAGGTCCTTCAAGTTCAATTAGTGAAATTGTGGAGGGTCGACGGAAACGCAATTTGTATTGCTTTGATAAACAATGCTGGAACATGCGGCAATACGTGCAATACAGTATGCATTCGCCTCTCTCTCTCGGCATTCAATGCATAGGAGTTCTCTCCGCCCATTCACCGTGACAACAACGCCAGGTTGATACCCCCCTGTGCGGTAGCCGCAATCAACACAGAATCGACGGGCGGTCTCGCTGTCATCTTTCTCGCGCTTCTGGCCATTGAATTGCTTGTCAGTAAATTCGGTTCCAGGTCGAAGTTTCAGGCTTAATTGCAGGAGAAGAATTGATCATATCTGAAATAATCAGGAATCGAGAAGATCAAAATATCACGACATTGTCTTGCTGGGTAGCACTTGCTTTAGCTACAACTCTATAGCACATAGGAAAGGCCAGCTTCTGCCTCGCTGTTGTAGGGGGTTCTACCAGAACAATACATGGGAGTATTGCAACAGATGAGGGGTAGTCGAAGTAGTTGATAACAAGTGATATGAGCTCCGTAGGTAAGTGACATATAGTAGTGCTAGCCATGGCGACCTTTGGGGTAATTCTAGTTCACTTGAGAGAGTGGATGAAACAGACTAAAAAGTAACGACAGGTAAGAGATGCCAATGACATGTGTTATTTAGAACAAGCTATCGTCAGCTTAAACCTCGCTCGCTCTAGCGTTAAAACTTACCAGCCACTTCAAATCGACGTCTGATCAATTGACCCGATTGTGAATGTGCGGCGCTGCGTGAATCTCGCCGTTCATTGATGGAATTGATATTATTTATGAGGAAAGCGAGACAGCAAGGTTTCTTCACACAAGAGGAGTAGGGTTCATATTGATACTATTTCCCAAGAGTCAAATGAGTGGCACATCTTGTCGATGGCATTTTTGCTGGAACCATCTCGCGTCTACAATCGGCCTGTTTGATCCAACGTATAAGATCATGTGGTTCGGACAAGTCACACAACATTGTCTTAGATCAAGCCAGCGCTCAGCATCGTGTTTACAGAAACCCGGAGTCGAAACCGATCATATACTAAAATCCGAGTGTAAAACCTTGATTGATCTCATAGCTGCCGCCTCGATGGCGACGAAACACACGAAAATTTTGGGAGTTGGGACGACCCACCTTGGATGCCACTCTGCTCTTGACGATATCTTGCTACCACAAAGGGCTTGACTTGTGACACCCACCACGTAAGATTGATTGAATGATGCAAACCTCCGAGCTAACACTCAACCAAAGGCACCGGCAATAACACCTGTGCTAACTGCAATATGGCTCAATTACCCTGGAAAGATGCCCGTTATGTGTATAGAGGCAGCAGCATGAATATCACCAAGTTCTGAGGGAGAGACATGACGCCTGATCACCGACAGTGAAGTAAAATGATGGTAGAGGCGTAATCTCTCTGCGGTCACCAAGCATGCAATTGTGATATTCCCACTGTCATAGCTAAGAGGAAAATAGCCAAATGCGACGTCACTGGCATTTCATTGACAAAGGCAAAGATAGAATCTTAAATTATGTATAACCCACATACTGTGGGACACGTCCTTGCATTCAACTATCTGAACTATCTTCAAGATGGCGAATGAATACGCCCACCTGGGCAGAGGGAAACCACCTGTTCCACCGATAACAAAATACTACACCAATCAAATAGAAGAAATAGAGAGTAAATCCGGCCCATGTACATATGCTCCGTGATGAATAGGCCAGTAAGAGGTGAAGCGCCAAAGGGCAGGGAAAAAGAAAGGTGTCTAGTCTAGCTGTTGGGAAGGCAACGCAAAAGACAGGAGACGAAGAGACGAAGAGAAGAACGAACCAACCTTATGCTTCGAAAGCACGGGACGTTCACTGTAGAAATGGGTAACACTCAAAGATGGCGAGAAGTTAGATGTTTGGTTGGAGGTAGAACTGCAAACTGCATTATTAGGTCAGAGACCACAAGCAATTTGAGGATCTAAAATCACTTTGATATTGGGGACCAGCCCCGGCGGGATGGAGGGAGCCAAGGGGAAGGGATGGGTCGTTCAGGCGGGAGTTGCGGAGGTTACTTGGCGTTTCGCGGCTCCTTCGATTGAACCCTGGGAATCGGAGTTGGTATTAGTTATTCAAAGTTGTCGACATCCTGGGTTTTGTCTCGCACGGCGTTGGATCGCGGATTCCGGGGTTGGTTTTTCGCCAAATTATGCGGATTTCACTCGCTTCTGCACACTTACGTCCAACTCGCCAATGCTGCGTTTCTGGCCAGCTGTCTCTGACCGTTTGGCAACTTTTTTCTTTGGTCGAGAGGCTCGGGTCTCACCGGGTTGGAAGACATCATCGGGCAAATCAAAACTAGAAGGCGTTAGATAAATCCATACAAGTCACAGGCAAAGGAGGAACTTGCTTGCGGACATGGGTGACGGCCAACTCCATGACCTCTTCCTGGTATCCTGGCCATGAGGTGCAAGTTGACTTGAAGATCTGTGAGTCGGTTGATATATCCAGAGATCGCGATTGGCCTTGAGAAAGAAAGAGTTAGAGATGTCATATAGTGGGAGCAATGCGATTACCTGGCTCCAGTGGTTTCAGCTCTAGGCCGATGTAATAAGTCGTTGTGTAAACGGTCTGGCCATCATCATCAACCGTGCCCTCGACCTTGCCCACGGCCGGCTCTGGGACCTCTGCGTTTTCGAGGGTGTTCTGGATTGCGGCTTGGTGAGCAGCATCCTTAGTCTCATCGGTCATCGCGGTCTTTGTGCCTTTAGCCTGATATTGTGTAGATCCATTCTTGACTGCCTCCATTTCTTGCTCGCTGGTGATGCGATGAATCCTTTCAAATCCCTTGGGGAATGGGTGGGCCACTGCAACAATTGGCTTGCGATCTAAAGCGCCCACAAGGTGACGCAGCTTGGACTCCACGAGACCCGACCACACGGACTCGGCCTCCTTGGTCTTACTAGAAGCGGTGATACTGAGATAGTACTTGTAATCGTGGGTGAAAAATGTGTGGCGCGCAAATAAATCCTGCCACGAAAGCTGTTTCATGAAGATCTTGTCGACGATGTCGCCACCTCGCTGTAGCTCCCTGAGAATAACAGCCTTAGTGGACAGACTTATGTTGTGAGTCGAGCACATCGAAGGATACGCAGGAGTGATGATGGGCATAAGGTGGAATCGATCACCATGGTAAATCTAATAGTTCTTAGCCTATATCATCAGCGAAAGCGGTGCTATGTGCTTACCTTTGGGTTCCAGACTTTTATCTGAAGGGGCCCATCCTCGATCTGTTTCAATAAGACAGGCTGAGGCCAATTCCATTTGTTCATAATTCGGAAAAACTTTCCCACAATGACAGAGCCAGTTGCTTGCGGGTATAGTTGACAAACTCGAGCCACCAGCATTGCCCACGCAACACCACCAGGGAATCCGACAATGTTCGAGTAGATCGCTCGTCCTATACAGATAATCAGACAAATTAGCCGGCGATGCACGAAGGAGCAAGTGACACTTACGCTGAGCCCAGAGTTTGATTGCTCGCAATGCAAGACGGAATGTCTTTTGTTGGGGGACAAGCTCCAGTATTTCATCTGTAACACGAGTTCCATTTAGCGACCGCACCTCTCGTTCGTCCAGTCCTCTGAGGTAATCATTATTCTTCAAATCAAGGTTCATCGGGATAGCGGGAACGACAAGGCGGGCAAAAATCAGATCGATACTGATTCCACACAGCTCGAGCTTGATGATCGGAACGAACGCATCGGGCACGGGTGTCATCTTTTCAATGGCTCCCTCGGAAGCCATTCTTTCGAGTATAGGGGGAATTCAGCAAAGAAATCGTCGATCAAGACATGTTTAGGCCCAACGACTAGCGTATCGATATCGGAGCCTGCAAGCAATCATCGTTAATGTCGATATGGGTATGAGAGCTTGGGTCTGCACATAGCTGAACGCTTACCTGGCCCATATACACCTAGCCTATAACTTCCATACGTGAAGATTTTACCACCAGAAGCCTCAACAGCAGCAGGAGATAGACCCTTCTTGCGACTGACAACTTGAACAAATTCCACTGTGACGCGCTGGAGTAACTGGAGCACTTGTTTTCTATTCCGCAATTATCAGTCTTGGCGCTCTGGAGCTTTCATTGTTGAAATGCAAACACACCTCCGTTCCGTTTCAGTCGGTAGCTCGAAGTTGTTCTGAGCCTTGAGCTCGGCAATGAGATCGTCATTTGCGGCAAGCTCATCCTTGGTCGGCAGGACGGTCGAGATCGGAGGTGTAACACCCCACTGTCGGACAGGTGGTGTAGCCATTGTAGGAGGAAGCCGAGATAGTTAGATTCGAGATCCAGTCTCACAAGCCGTGTAAAGATAGGGATTAGATAACGAGAGGAGCGTTGTCCACAAGCTCCCGAGGCAAGCACCTGAGAAAGGGAACTAGGTGCTGCTTTGAAAAGACAAATACAATTCCCTGAGCGAAACGGGAAGAGAAGAAAGAATCAGGGAGAGAAATGGAATTGGAGAAGGAAGTTGTTCGCCGCGCAAGGTTCATCGGCGCTTCCAGGGCCACCTACAGTGCAGGGCGCTTACTCAGCGTCACATGATCAATATCTATCTACTTTTTTTCAAGTAAACAATATTGCTATTTCCAACCATCAAGAGATCTCATTCATGAATAAATTAAGATGAAATACTACCTTTTGTATTTTTGTGACTAACTATTCAATCGAGCGCGCTTTGAAGCTTCTCGGCCAAAGAATTGACGCTATCTCGGTTGTTTGTAAAGAATTGCAAGAGCTTCTCATCAAGCCATTCTACATCCTTCGCACTATCGCCTGGACCTCCTGCCCAATCTATTCACCAAGTTAGCTCTGTGTGTATTTGGAACTTGACTTGATATACTCACGACCCCATATCGAAGGGAAGATATCCAGTGTTCCAATGCCTGGCGTCATGCAAGCAACCTCATACTCCGAGTCTTCAGGTCTAGTATGATGCAATTCTTAACTTAGTCTCACATTGCCTCAACGGTAGAATTGAAGGTTCTAACTTACGGGAAGTAAAGGTCGGTCTTTGACGGCAAAACCAGCGCTTTTGCTTTGATGGACGCCATCGCCTTTTCAAAGTCCCCATTGTATGGTGCTTGCTGCGAGACATCACCATTTTGCCAGGTCTGCAGCATGACTAGCAAATTTTCAGGGTCTTTGAGGTATTTGTCAGTTTTCTGATACAACTCGTTCAATAGGATCCAACGCTACCTTTAGAACAAGCCCATTTCTCCCAGAAGTTGGCCATGAAGTCTTCAAGTCCCTTGAAACCCAGCGCGGTTTCATACAACTTGTTCCGGTAGAAAGTCTGGCTAAATCCCCTGTTTTTAATGGGTTAGGTCGGGGAATAAGTCAAAGGTCAACACAGAATTTCTTACCATCCCGCATACGCACGGCCAAATGCCTTGAGACCAACATCCTTCTCCTCAGCTGTCCAAGTATGCGCTTCTGGCGCCTCTCTATCAAGACCAATCTTTCCAACACCCGCAGAGCGGCTCTTCTTTACCGCAATCAAAGAGCTTTTGACACCCTCAATGAAGACTTGGTTGTGCAGCGAGGTTCTCGCAGACGTACAGAATGGGACCACAAGATCCATGAAGTCAGGATATTGCGTGGCCCATTGGAAAGCCTGGGCCCCTCCCATAGACCAACCGACAACGGCGCGCAAATGCGTGATGCCCATGTGTTTGGTAACGAGCTCATGCTGCGCCCGCACATTGTCGTAAAATGACACCTTTGGAAATGACCCTGGGCTCAGCTGGTTGGATGGAGAAGAGGACTGGCCATTTCCGAACAAGGCTGGAACTATGATAAAGAAATTGTTCGGGTTCAGGAGCTTGTCGTCTCCGATCAACCAAAAGTTGTCGGAGATGGCTGGAGGCAGCATTAGACCAGTCTTGAGGCAAATGTAGGATTTTATCTAGACATACCTCCGGAAAACCAAGTTGGATAGACGATTGCTGGAGACTTGGGATCGCCGAATGTCTTGTATGCGATATGAGCATCCTGAATTCTCTCTCCGCTCTGGAGCTCCCAGTCTCCAAGCTTGAATGTTTCGTATTGTTCCGATGACATAGTCGCACTCTTGGTGGAATATTAAGAGAATGTAAAATTAAGTGTTTTGTATCTTGCGATAAATGGGCATACTGCCATTTATAGTTCGACCGAGATACCACTCAACCCCGCTCTACCCTCGACACGGCTTGAGTCGGAGCCGCTTATTCACTGTCGATGTGACATCTTAGGGACGTTTGAAGCTTCGGCAAGATATTCAGTAAGCATCTCGGATAGATTCAGGCTAGATTTAGTCAGGAGCTTTCTGAGCTTCAAAAAATCCCATCCATGCCGATGGGATACCGGGCTGAATAATCTTCTGGGATCCCGCCGGGGGTCCAAGAGCATGATGGACGACATTGTCAAGAGATTCCCACATAGAGATTACATGTACTGATTAGGTAGAAGCCTGTTCATTTATGCAAATACAACGTCCACGGGTACCTGTATTTGCATACTATTGGTTACACATTGTGCATCAATCAAAGAGTTATACAAGCTGAGATACTCATGTTCACCTCCCAACCTCTAAATGACAAAACTCTCTAGGTAAAGATCAAAGGTCTAAAATTGTGGTCTAGGGATCTCCATGGCCTCCGTGGTTCGACCATACGAGATACCACCTAGGCGACTTATAGGCTTAAGAACCTTCAAATCGACGACATTTCGTTCCTCGTTGATAGCATCATCCCTAACCCAGAACCGAACGCCTTCGATGATAGCAAGGACGCCCGATTTCTTCCCCGGGGTGACCCGACTCTCAAACTCCTTCAACTCGACAAGCTTGCCCTCAATAGAGACAATAGACTCCTTGACACGGGCAGGCTTCACAACAGAGGTTCCCGCCTGATGCAGCCCCGAAGTTTCCCACTCGGAGAAACCATAAGGAGCATTGATAGAAGTAGAGTTGGCCGCTTCAATAAAGTGTTCCGAGATAATGTTGATGACACACTCCCCAGTCTCATTCAGGTTCTTCAATGAATCCTTGGCTCTTTCCATCGACCCAGAAAAGCCAATCGTAAAGAGCGGCGGGTCGTGGTTGATGACCTGTGCGTAGCTGAACGGAGCGAGGTTTGTAGTCTTGCCATCTGCAGATTGAGTACTGACGAGGGCGATCGGTCGTGGGACCATTGCTGAAATCAGGAATTTATAGTTTGAGACCACGGGACGGCCCTCCTCGTTGGGGTCGATCTCAACGTGGTCTTTCTTCAGGCTCTCGCCGCCATCATTTGCCCCATCGCCTTCCTTCCATTTCGGGTTTGGGGACTTGGTGTATGTGATCTCGGCATCGCGGCGAAAATCTGGCCGCGAGGCTTGGGTTTTCTCGAATTCCGAGTCAGCTTTGGTCATTGTGCAGGTTTGGCTAAAGAATCGAGTGGGTTGACTGGGCTGGGAAAGTGTATGGGTTGTTATTAGACGATCAGCACTTGAGATTATAAATCAGTGATGCTGTTCAATGTGGATGTGGGCTGCCCCGCGGAGCAGGTATGGTGACGAGAAAGTCACCTCCGGCATGCTCGCTAGAAAGGGCAGTCAGCGAAATACTGACTGGGCTTGCAACAAGGAGAGCCTCCGAATATTCCGGTAGGCAGATTTGAGTACACACATGGGGACAATGGAGCGAGTTTTTTCTCGATTTCATGAAATTCTTATCGCATTTGCTATCTCTAATTCAAGCTTTGCTTGTGACTTAATGCCACGGATAAATTTGCCCTGAACTTGAATTGCCACGCGCGATGTGCCGCCTGATCTCATGTATAGTGCGTGGATATATTCCTTTTTCCCGACTCGCGGGCCGACTCCGGGGATATCCCCTGGAGAAACCAAAGCGAGACACGTCATGGTGCTTTTGCATCTACCATATGTGCTCAAACCTCAATTTGGTGTGCTCCAATCCTCGTGGACTTATGTATTGAGTAGAAATGTATGAATCGAAAACACTCCTAGCTGACATATAAATCCCAAGGTTCTCTCGGGGCACGGAAAAGCACACGATATATATATCCAAAGTATGTGCGCTGCCTCTACGACGAGGTTGTTTCAGCACTCTGTGTTCAAACATTTGCAGATTTCCAGAAAACTCGAAAACAAGAACTCAAATGAAGAATGACAATAAATATACCTAGAAGAACAGTGAGTAAAATTGGAAAACATAGACGGCCGGTTAAAAGCACTGTTCACCTGACCTAGAACATAGAAACCGCCGATGTGGACCCTTTCCAGTAAATACTGTATTCTGCAATCTTTCGGGATTTTCCCAACAGGGCAATCCCCAAGCTCTTAAGATAAGCTTAAATATCCCCAGGTATAGCCCGGTAGCGACCAAATGAATCATTTCCAGATGATCAGGAAAATAAATATGTACACATGTTTGTCAAGAAAATGATTCAGATTCTCAATTTGCTTTCTGAAAACGTGGGGAGCATGAGATACATACATACTGGGTCTAAACCCACTCTCCCCATAAAAGCTCCATACGTTCCGAAGTCTGGAGTCTAGATACTCGGAGTTGATGCGAATGTGCAAAGTTCCTTTTGAATGCGTTAGATTTATTACCAAGTTTTGCCTCAATTACATGTCTTTAGATCTCTATGTAATAGGTATCCGGGGTACTTACCTAGGTAGTACTCCGTACTCTGTACAGAGTATGTATTCCTACAAAGCAACAATATATGATATATAAAACACAATCTTGGCAGGGTCGCCCCAGACATCCCATGACCGATTGTCCCTCCCAAAGGGGAATGGCGTGGCTCTGTTTTCGGCGTAGCGGTCAAGGGGGGACACTGCGATGTTTTCGATCAGAACATTACCTTACACAAATACATCGTGAGATTTTTCCAAAGGGCTCGGAAATGTAAAATGTGCCCTTGGAGTGGCGTAGTACAAGCGAGGGCAATCACGAGGGCTTATCGACTCCCCTCTTCTCCCAACTTTTCTCCCTTGAAACTTTCACACTTTGTGATCTGGAATATTGGCCCCCCCGTTTCTTTCCATGAAGTTTTCGCTACGCACTTTCCCTTCATTCCAATCCTCCCCGAATCTTGAAAATCCAAGTCCCGCGCCGAGAACCTGCCGACTGAAACTGGGGGTGTGCAGGTACCCAATGGGTCGAGATCACGGATAATCATTGGCTCGCCATGAGCCCCCCTTCTCCCAAGAAGAAGAATGGCGGTCCCTCTGCCCCCAGACAAATCCGCTTTGTCGCAACTGATGGGCAGCCGCAAACCAAGCGCCGTCGCGTTAATGCCGCGTATGTGAACCATAGAGATAATTTCGTCCGTCAAGACGCTGACGTCACTTTTGTTGTATAGTTGTTTAACATGTCGCCGGCGCAAGATTCGATGTTCCGGTGAACAACCAGGTAGGATCCACAGAGCCCATCGATTGCGGAGATGTTGCTGATAGAGTATATGTGGGAAGTGTGTAAGACTTGCTCTGACTACAAGCATGTATGTCTTGGATACACCGAATCGACCGCGCACCTGCGAACGCAGTCCGATTCCGCATCGCGAGCGCCGCCGCGCCTTTCCGCTCCTAATGAATCGACAAGCCAGCACACTTCTCGGGCAGTTGAAAGCAGCTCCCCTGAACCAATGCCAATGCCGATACCCAAGGCGCCCGCGGATAAACCCACCAAGACGAAAGCGCCCGGATCGAAGGATATCTCTTCTTTGGGGGATATTTCTTCACTCGTGAAGGAATCAGATACACAAGCTGTCGGAGACAGTCCAGCGAGCGGTCGTACCTCTGTGAGCTCAGCGAGTCGCACGCATGTCCCGTATTTTCGATATTTTGGCCCCACCGCGATTGTACCGGGGTTCAAACAAATGGTTGTGCAAGTTCGAGGTTCTCGCCGGAGTAACCCATCCATGTCCTCAGACTCCCCTTCGCCTCTTCGGAGCCCCAAGCCGTCTGATATTCCCGCAAGACCCCTGGTCACTGTCGCGGATAATCGAGACAACCGCGATGCAAATATCCCATTTTATGACCGAGATGATACCCTTCCAGTTTCGAATCTTGTATCCCATCTGTGCGAACTCTTCTTTGCCCACCTGGGCTGCAGCTTTCCTTTCCTACAGCGAGAGAGGTTTCTTCAGGACCTCAAAGAGAAAAAGGTTGACACCATGTTGGTAGATGCAGTGTGTTCGTTAGCTGCGAGATTCTCAATACATCCATCACTTGGCCCCCCCAGGCTCCTCCTATTGATCGCTCGCAACCCCTACTCGCCGATAAAAAGTGGGATCGTGGTCTGCCCTTTGGTCATCGTGCGATGAGCGCTCTCGTGGATTCGTTACCATGTCCAACTCTCTCTGCCGTTCAAGCCTGCTTATTGCTCGCCTATGAACAGTTCGGATCAAATCATGATAGTGGACTCTGGATGTATCTTGGAATATCAATTCGCATGGCCCAGGACCTTGGATTGCAGAAGTTCCAAGGCCTCAAACATAATTACGGCAGAACCGGCGTCACACCGAGTGAAGTGATGACAGGTCATGCTGGGAAACTAAGAGAGGAACAGTATGATGATCTTGATGTGCATCTAACGTCCAAGACTAATCCACAGCCTTCGGCTGAGGAACGTGCCCGGGAGCGCGAACGGGTAGACTCATTCTGGAGCATCTTTTTTCTAGACCGGGTCATTTCTTCGGGGACCGGGAGGCCAGTGACACTGCGCGACGAGGATATTGAACTTTGTTTCCCTCTTCAATCCGAATCTCAGCTGTCAAATGGGTGGCCTGCGCCTTTCCCACCACTTATTCGGATCATTCATCTCTACGGCCGGGTGACCGACCTTATCAATGGTATCCAAGATGTCAAGCTAGTCACGCCGGACACGTTGAAGATGTTAGCTGGGATGGAAAGCGATTTAACTGGCATCTATCAACGCTTGTCCCCAAGACTCCATTTCAACGCAGCCAATTTTCAAGCCTATGTCAAAGCCAAGGAGGGAACCAACTTTATTCTACTCCATTTTTGGTTCCATACTCTCATTGTTCTCCTCCACCAACCGACGTTGTTAAACTCGTTTGGGGGATCAATCCAACATCTCTATCCGAATAGTCGCGAGCTGTCGATGTCATCTGCCAAAACTATTGCTGATATCCTGTCCTTCTCGGAGCTCGTCGATGGAAAAAGTTTCATTGGCAACCCTTTTACGAGTCAGCCGATGTACATTGCGGCATGCGCATTTCTCATGGAAAGTGCGTACTATGCGTCCCCATCCTCGGCGGCTGGATCAACCCCACCCCAGCCGTTGTTGGCAAATCAATCCAGTGGGTTTGTGATGCCCACCATGGAGTCCTCAAATGGGACAGAACGGAAGTCTACAGCGAAGCATATTCTGCTTGCTTCTGCCGCCAGGGAGAACTACCAGCGGTGTTACAAGGCTTTGAAAGCACTCAATGCGTACTGGGAAGGCACTGGGTATATTTTGACAGTGTTGGATCAGAAAGCCAAGGGTATTGTCGATCCCCTCCTCTATGCTGTAGAGGATATGGAAAATACTGCAGGTATCGCCCCAGGGCAGCCTCTTGGGACAGGAGCTTGGCGTGCGGGCAAAGCATCGGCGGACTCTGGCTTTGATCCGGAAAGACCAGCTGGGGTTGCAGATATCTCATCTGATGGAAAGTGGTCACCACACATTGATCCAAGTCAAGGTTTGTTGACTCCGCCAATATCTATGACATACTACTAACAACTTATACCTTGACAGCTATTGGATGGGCACTCACTGGAGCAACAAATTCTTCGCTGCCCAACTTGAGCCTGCTCTATCAGATGTCCACGACTGAGGCCGAGTCTCCATCCAATCGACCAACATACTCGTCGCAGTACAGCCACAGCTATCCAGTCCTACCAACAAATGTTAGCGAAGGGCCAAGCCCTTCATATCCGCAATCTATCGCATCAGCCAGGGTTCACGAGGAAATTACGTCCTCACTCGCAACAGCAAATGCTAAATACTCCAATATTCAGTCCAGAACAATTAGCAGTGACCCGTCTTATTATATGGGCATGAACCCAACATATCCCGAATCAAATACGCGGACAACACGCCCCATACGGACATCACAGTCTACTTTCCCCGGTGTGCTATCCTCTGGATTACCAATATCACATATGGGCACCCAGCCCTCCGCCTATAATTACTCGATGCCTCAAACGACAACCGAGCACCAAACCAGAAACCCAATGGGGTCTCGTGATCCAGGTGCAGATCTTCAACCGGCCATTGATGATGCCAATGGTATGATGATTGGGAGTCATGAGGTCGATATGAATTCTATCCACCATCAGGAATCTTTCCCTTTCGCTAACGGCGAGATCCTTCCGTGGCTGGAATACCTCCCTCAAGATGTTCTGAGTTACTTCGGGGATCATCAAAACTATCCGCTTATGAGCCCAGATGATGTGTCACGGCCTCCGTAATATTTGACGTTCCATCCTACTTCTTATCGTACATATTTATACCTTTTCAGCGGCTTGCATATGCCTGTATTCCAGCGACTGGCTTCTGCGTTTGCTTGTATATTGCGGACCGCGACATGCTTTTCTGGCGTCAGGTTGGATGATATTCTTGGTTTGCACTAGACCATCTACGTTTTGGTTATGTATGTTCAAACTAGCGGCATGACTTCAGGTTTACAATATCCATATGATAACCTGGGCATTATCAATAGACTCAAATCATATTTTCCTTGCACTGATTCTAAGATTTCGAAAACGTACCACCAAGACGATTTCCATGTTTAAAATTCAAACACGATGTACTCGAGGACTCGGTGTGGCTTGATGATCGACAATGTCAGTTGGTTGCCCGGCACAACGGGGGCGGTGAGCAACTTGTCAACACACGTTGAGTTGTCTTGGATTCCACGTTGACACAAAGGGAGGAGGTATGTGGAATCTGGCTCTACCAAGTCTCTATATACTATTTGGGTTCAGCACAGACTGAAACCTCAGGACGTAACCTCCCACCAGCCATTGCATGAGAATCTCATGGCGCGGTTAAATGACGATAGTCAACAAGACGTCGATTGCACAGAGATCCTAAGCCCGCAACCATTCTCCCTTCCAGGCAAAGGATCCCTCGTATCCTCCCTCGAATCCAGCAACGAGTCATTCTCTACCGACGATAATGCCCAGATGTCGTTGACCCAAGAAAGCGAGTACAACTCTTCCTCATCCTCCACCCGCCACTCAACAAGCGACATCTTCGGCCGTGAAATGGACGATGAATTAGACCAACTGAAGTCCAGGGCATCGAGTCGCTCGTCGCTATCGTCAACCCCAGCCTCCGTACTCATACACCCAGTCGACAGAATGAAGCAAATGCCAGACATGGATATTCATGAAAAGATAGCTGGTTACAGAGTAGAGGCATCCGAGGCGAGCTTCGGCGACTTCAACGACGTTCCCGCTAACATACGCACCATTCGCCAGCGTGAAGCCGTGTTTCGAAAACCGAGTTCCGTCAGAGCTATGCAGATGCACACAGAAGACGAAGCCGACGACGATGACTATCTAACGCCCCCGCGCCGACGAGCAGGCCTGCGCTCACGCTCACCCGGACCATCGCCACTGAAAAGATCACCGTATTACTCGCCCAATGCATCAAAACAACCAAAACCGAAGAAGGAGGCACCGCTCGTGCTTCTGCACTGCACTCTCCTCCCGCCGTCCATCCCAGTGCCTGGAGCGTCGGACCCCAGAAACCAGGATATCCTGGAAGAAGAGCTACCGGCGGAATATTGGAAGCGGTGGCGGCGGCTTCAAGACCGGGTTGGATCGGGCGTGCTACGTGATCGTGGCGTGTTGATATCGCACCCCGAGGATTTATACGACATTCTGGAGGAGCGGCTGTTGGAGAGTCTCGAGCTGCAACGACCACGCCTGCAGAACGGCCACTTTGTGGGTCGAGAGGACCACAGCTCTAGTTCTGGCTCTGAAGGGGATTTCTCCGACATTGAAGAGAGCGAGACGGACGGCGAGCAGGGCGATGAATGTCCCGACTGTGGGACGCATGTACGGCACGGAGATAGTAATCGTAAATGGGAGATTCGGGTCTTTGCCGCAAATGGGCTGATGCGCGCTGGAGCATGGGCTGCTGCGTGGCGCGACATGGAGAAGGTTGATGTTGAGGTCGGGCTTTGGCTGCCTTCTGATGTGCGCCGTGGTCTGGAGAGGAGGCTAGCGGAGGAGCAGATGGCCGTTGTTGAACAGGCCCAGGCCCAGCCACCACAGATGTCTATGCAGATGCAGATGCATATGTCGCCGCTGGTTGATGGTGGGCATCCGGTATCACCGGAAATTCCGCAGTCGCCTAGACAAAGCCATGCTCGTATGATCAGTGATGTGGGGTCTTTCCAATCTGATGAGATGACATTCAGACAGGTCCTCCCTGAAGCTGAGGGTCGATTCGGTGGGGAAGAGAAGAAGAAGGAACATGAGGTTGCTCTTTCGACTCTCCTTGTCAATTATATTCGTGTCCTGGCGGCCGATAGGCGCAATATTGCTCTACTTCTTCTCAGTTCCCTTGTGGCGTTCCTTGCCATCGGCTCTCGTCAGCAGCAAGTCCCTGTTTACTCCCATCTTGGTTCTTTTTCGCAGACCTCGTCGGATGATATGCTGCCCTCCGCGGCTATGCCAAGTTTGACCATGGCTCCATCTATGTCTCCTTCGATATCTCTTGCAAGCTCGGTCAGTTCGAGCGAGGCACTTGTCGTGAGCTCAGTTGGCTCTGCATCGGCCGAATTCGCGGCTGTTAGTGAGAGAGAGGTGGTTCCCTTGTTCGAGGCAGTGGAGTCTGCTTCTCTGACAGTCCACTCATCTCAGATTCAGGATCAGCCTACACACGCTGTGGGGCATAAGGAGCATACAGCACCAACCCAGCTGCCGGAATATTCTGAGGTACGACCTGAGGAGCCAGCAGAGTCTCCTTCTTTGTCTGTCATCCCTATTGAATCTCCCATTGTGCATTTGGACCCCACTGCGCCTGAGCAGACTACGCAGCCTCAACCCGACAGTGATGCACAAAATTCTTTGGATGATGCTGTGGACTCCGCTGCTGTGCCTTCAGAGCCCTCCCCTTCCTCGGCCGACTCTGATGGATCCACTGTCCAGCCAGAGGTGCCTCCGGAAAATGAGCAGTCCCAGCCTGAGAGCGAAGTAGAACCACACTTGGATGATGACACCATGAACTCTGCTGTTTTGCCTCCAGAGCCCTCTCCTACCTTAACTGACTCCGATCGATCTCTTGTTCAGTCAGAAATGCCCGCAGATCATGAGCAGTCCCATATTGAGGACGAAGGAGAAGTAATTTTGAGTGACACGGTGGACTTTCATGCTGCGTTACCATCTCCTTCCCAAACAGATTCCATTGATTCTCCCGTCCTGTTGGATGTGGCTGTGGAGACTGCACAACCTGATACTCAAGGCGGAAAAGAAGAGCAATACGAAGAAGACGAGCAGACCGATTGATTATGGGAAAGCAAATATCACTTTCTCAACCTTATGACTACGACTGGAACGATATCAGGCGAAATGTTTGGGATGTTGTTATGATTTTTTTTCCATGCTTCTTTCCGTTTCGGCGCCTTAAGCTGATTTAGCCATAGCCTTTGATTAGTTTATATAGTTCTGTTTATATTAGCGAGCCCCTGCTCTTTCATTCTTGTAAATGATTGTGTATAGAAAATCGTTCATACTGTTGATGACTGTGTCCGGACACAAAACAATGCCAAGCCCGTGGAGTTTGATATCTCCACTTCGCCCCCAGCTCCTGAACCTTGGTCCGCTCGCTTAGTGATCGTCCCTCTTCAGTAGATTATACATTGAACGTTGGATATTAGATCTGGTAGATTACGCACTATGTACAGACATGATGTATTGAACATTCTGGTTACGTGTAGGCCCTGACACAAGCCCGGAAGGAGATGTTTAATACAATGCGGGGCAACCCAGCCTACGTTGTATGTACCCGCACAAGGTAGATCAGGAACCAAAAAAAAGAGAAACTGAAGGCTCGATATTATTTATTATCGATTAAAGGTAAGGTTAGTTGAATGAGTTCGATTTTGTATTGGGCAGGTTCAAGTGATCGTTGAGATCTCACTGGCCCAGCGAATTTATCCCTCAACCCAGCATAAGTCACAACCTTCGTAAAAAAGTGCTAATCACGTCCAGACCTTCGTAAGCTTCGTGACAGGATAATCTAGTAGCCGCCCTGACCACCGTAGCCACCTTGGCCACCGTAGCCCTGACCACCCTGCTGGCCACCGTAGCCGCCCTGGCCGTAGCCACCTTGGCCGCCACCGTAGCCACCACGGTAACCACCGCCGCCGAAGCCGCCGCGACCACCACCGGCAGCACGCTCAGTAGCCTTGTCAACGCGGATCTGGCGACCGTCGAACCTGAAAAGAAAGGGGTCAGCACATATGTCAACAGAGAGGAAGACAAGTTCACGTCAGCGCTGGAATAGACGACATCCATAGGCCGCCCTTTCCAGCACTTTGTCGCTCGAGAGGAAATAATCAAAGATCAATTTGCTTACTCTTGGTTGTTCATGGCGTTCATAGCAGCGGTAGCCTCATCGTCGGTGGAGAAACGGACGAAACCGAAACCACGGCTGCGGCCAGTATCACGGTCCTTGACAACGGTCTAGGGAAGAAAAGTCTTAGCAGATGTACAATGTAGATCAGTGGAAGTAAAAGCGACTCACAGCATCCTCAACAACACCGAATTCCTCGAAGCGCTGGCGCAGACTGTTGTCGTCTGTGTTCCAGGAAAGACCGCTGGGAGATGAGAATTAGCAGGCGCTTGGAGAGAGATCTAGTTTCAAGTCGCTCTTACCCAATGAAAAGCTTCGACATGATGATGGAAATGGGAGAGAGATATGGGGAGAGAGGGGGAAAGGGTGTTAAGTGCGAAGAGGGGCACAGCCGAGCCTGATCTTAAATACAACCCGGGACGGAACAACATCACCCCACAGATTCCTGGTTTTTCAGGCTCATGTTTTATTTTATTTTTTGGCGTCCAGTATTTGAGATTCATTGGATTAGTTAGATATCTGTATGACTTTATATATACTTGTTTGGGTAATATGTTTACTCTATATAGATAGTGATGGGTGTGGACCCATATCCCCACGCTGTCGACGAAAGTGGCGCTAATTCACCACCTATATGTAGGTCCACGATAATAGATGGCACCACCTAGGCATAAATATAAAAGATAAGCTTAAAACAAGAACAAAAACAAGAATAATAGTATGATGGTGAAACATCTAACTAAATTTAGAAAAAAAGAAAAAAATTAGGGTTGTTCTCGTCATGAGGTCATTGTCACTTTACATCACCCCACCCACCTTCTATATAAACTCTTCCTCTTTTCACTCAACTTCCACCATCACACATTTCCAATCAATATGCCTATCACTGAAATCACCAGGTAAAATGCCCCCCTCTTCCTACACAAGTCTACAATTCTAACATTGACCACAGCAAAGCCGACTTCCTAGAGAAGGTCCTTGGCTCAGAAGATGCCATCATCCTCGATTGCTACGCCGAATGGTGCCCAGCCTGCAAAATCATCGCACCCCAATTTGAAGATTTGAGCAACACCTACACCCAAGTCAAATTCTACAAGGTGGATATCGACAAAGTTGAGGAGGTCGCACTGGAGCTAGGTGTGCGGACGAAGCCTACGTTCATGTTTTTCAAGGGCGGAGAAAAGATTACTGAGGTGGTCGGGGCTCACTTGCCTGCCATTGAGCAAGGGATCAAAACTCACCTCCTTTGAGTGAGAGGGGATGGTCGACTTCTTTTCTTTTCTTATCCACCGAGGTTCTTGCGCTCGTGGAACATATCTCCAGCGATCTGATATGCTGGTCACTTAATAATCTCGGCTTGTCATTGACCTGACAGCTGCTTACCAGACTATGTATCTAATACTTTGATCAAAACTGAAACTGCCTTAGAACGAGTCATATTCTTAACTATAATTTCATTTTTGTAGTGCATTCACACAGATATTGCTAGAAGATCAATTGTGCAACGTACAAGGAAATATCAGAGCAAACATTACCAAAAAATAGCGCTTGAGAGTCCAGCATATGTTTAACTCCCCCCGCCTGACATCATTCCCCATCATACCATTCAATATCTCATACACGCCGGGTTAAAACCCAGAATCGATCAGATAAGCCGGTGGGATAGTAGGCCAAACATCAACCCCATCTAACATCGCCAAAACCATCCCTCCACTTTGATGAACCTGGATATGACAATGCATTAAGAAAGCACCGGGATTGACAACATGATATCTGATAACTGTCCAAGTTGGGCCTGTAACAGCCGGCAATGTATGGAAAGTATCACGATACTGGGGCGTCTGCAGATTAAAGTTACCGGGACTAGCTTGTACAGCTTCCGCGACCGAGTTCCAAGTGAAAGTACCATTTCCCTGACCGATGATAAAATGCTTATTCGAGTGCTTGTGGATCGGATGAGGGGGCTGCAGAATGGTATCTGTTTGGAGAACCAAGTCGATCCAGGTATTATTCTTCGTTCTGATGATCAGATCTTGGGGGATGGAGTTTTGGTTAAAGAGCAAGGGCTGTGCTTCCTCAAGCTCCAGACCGTAGCTGGTATTACCGAGTCTCCAGCGGAAGGCAGTGCCGACTTGATCAATATTCAAGAAGAAGGTTTGGGCTATGTTGTTTGAAGGGACCAGCGCCGGAAATGGAACGACCTGGGTCTCATCAAGAAAAACGGTGTCTGCCGTGGCGGCTTGGTTATTAATCGTGATCCACGGGTTGGATGGACGCGTTAGCCTGGGCGGGCCGTGGTATCGCATTATTGCCGTCGTGTTAAGGATCTGATTTATGCTTGCACTAACCATGCGCACGGCATACTCTCCCGCTGGTTGCGTAAGGGGGATGAGAACGGAGTAGCGGTTTGAGTTTGGGATAGTGACTGCATTGACTCTTCGGGGTTGGATGTATCTTCCGTCTATGGCATATACCCACATGTCGTGCTCGTCGATTGAGAATGTGAGTTCTAGCAGGCCAGCTGTGCTAGTCAGGTCCCAGCTTACGTATTTATGAGCTGCGTTGACGGTGAAGACTTCTTGGGGGCCTTGGGATGGCACACAGCCTTCAAACATTCTAGGGGGAATGGCAGCGTAGTTGTGTGGGAAATTGAACACCGTTTCAGTGATGTTTGGGGGAAGCATCTAGTGATCGTGAAGAAGTTAGTTCGTTGACCGTTTTGATCAAGATGGTCATGGGACTTTGAAGAATCAATTTACTCACGCCATGTCTGTCAATCTTAAATCATCGCCTAGGCTAATTCTCTGAACAGGTGTTGTCAGGGCATCAATCTCAGCACGTGGTAGGCAGGTGATAGATCCTTTGCCATTAATGAGCAAAGCATTGGCACAGAATGAGTCTGTGCCAGAGGCTATCTCGGCAGCCCAGATCTCCTCCGAAGTGAGGACACGCCATTCCGAAAGCAAGACGGGACGTGTCAAGGTCTCTGCGAGGACCATAGCCTTTAACTGAGCGGTATCGGTCGTGATAAGACTGAAAGGCTTTTCCACCGACGGGGAGGGGGTGATATAGATTGGTCCGTAAAGTCCATCTTCGAGAGAGCCACGGTGATGCGCATGATACCAGTAAGCACCATACTCTGTTGCTGTCCATCTATACAAGAACGAGGTATTTGGTCTTATGGATCTCTGCGAGACACCAGGCACCCCATCAGACCAAGGGGTTCCCAGCTGTTCAATTCCTAGAAGATAGCATGTTAGTATACGTATGCAAAACAATAGGAAGATATCCAAAAGCTTACCGTGGAAGTGTATAGTTGTATTGAACGGGCACCGATTGTCAACGAGGAACTGAACATTGTCACCCTGGTTGATCCGCAGCGGAGGACCAGGAAACTGGCCGTTCATCGAGATCACTGGCCTAGTCACTCCTGCAACACTTCTTTCCGACCATGTCAAGGTAACAGGAAAGAATATAGTAGCAGCAGCTGCCCATTTGACGAGACATAGAAGCCAGATAGACATGCTGCCTAGAGGAAACTTCATTTCTAAAGATGACACTCGACTGGCAATCTACATCAAATTGAATAGACTGCTCTTAATATCCCATATTTTCCACGGGATACCCACTCTTTATATGGGCCTAGAAAGGCTCGTAGCGTGAGCATATCTGTCTCAATCTCACCTAGGCATCTTTCATGCAGGCCTATTACATGCAGAATTTGATGGGATCCTTTTACTTCCGAGCTCGTAAAGACACAAAGTAAAGGGAAAGTCTTTCCATACTTTTGTCGGGAACCAATCCAGTCTTTCGGGGAATAGGCAAAAGGGGAGTTCTGAATTAGCTCGGGATTCTTTCTTATTTGAAGCAAGGGACTTGATTGGGAACAGAAGGGCGAGTCCGGGCGAATGAAGGATTCGTAGTCCAAGATACCCATATCCATTTCGGAGACAGTAGTCCCGAGAAATAGCTTGGCGAAACTGTAGGGATTAACCTCCAAGGAAGCTGTTGGCACCTGCTTATGTGCAAGCTTAGAAGCCTAAGCCAGGTCTGAGACAGGGAACCCTTTCAGACTCGGCACGTTGCCGAGATATCGTATCCGGGACGAATGGTGCATGCTGGGTGAAAAGTTTCCATGGTTATGGAAGTGGCTGACTTGGGTCATAAGTTCTGTACTCCGCATGTTGTACAAGTGGCACTCGATGACACTACTCTGATAAAAAAAACTGCCCGTCTTAGTCGTCCTCGAATGCGAGTCAACCACCCACAAGCCAGGTTTCATGGAAGAAGGGTCGGCGGAAACCTCAATCCAGGACTGAGCATGGACGCCACGTGCTGACAATTGAATCAAGATACGCAATGTCCAGGATGATTCGAAATAGTTAGGTGAGGGCAAATATACGAGACAACCAGGGGGGTCGGATTCGGAATTGAACCACCCAGGAGTGAGGTGTGGAAGCTGCCTGGATGAAGCTAAGATCCCAAGAAAAATATATGTGGAAAACGCCATTTCATTGATAGTAGGGCCAAAGATGTGCTTAAATTCAAAATATACGCGATGAAACAAGAGATATTCGAACAATTTCTTGAAATTTAACTTTTTCTTACCATGTATGAGCCTGAATAGGGCAAGTCAATAGTCACAAGCATTAGAAGTTGCCATTTCCAAAGTACCCCGACATGTCATCATGGGTAGCATCCGACGCAGGAGGATGGCCTGATTTGGAATTGAAGATAGCCACCGGATCTGACGCAGGCACTTCACTCACGAGAGGAGGGGGCATGGGCTGACCAAGTACACCTCTGTTCGGCCATCCTTGTACTTCTGGGCTTTTTTGACCATCGGTACCATCTAGACGCAAGCCTTCCAAATCATCGGGGTTGATTTCCCCGTAGCTGTCATTCAGTCGTTGTAGGAATTCAGGGTCAAATCCCATTTGTACCAGAGGGTCAGCGGTCCCTTCTCCTGGCACTGATGCAGTGGTCGGAAGACTACTCGCCCAATCTGTAGAGTAGGATTGATCTGCACCAGCTGACATCATCCCTGCACTACCGGCGTAACTGCCTGATAGACTCCCCGGCCGGCTGGGTCCAACAGAAGAAAAGCCAGTGCCAGGAAAGCCGTGGCTGCGAAGACTGGGGCTAGAGACTGCAGGGCTATGGATCGGGGCGCCGTGGCATACTGTTCGCGCCAGCACATTAAGCTCTCGGGGCGCAGCTCTAAGGCCACCATTGATAGCGAATGGAGGCTGCATGCCCAGATCGGCAAATTGGATGCTATCGTTGTGCACAGGAGTTTGTAGTCCACAGTCACGCTTGAGGACCCCCAGCCAAACAATATTATCTGCGCAGGTCTGGTTCCAAGGATCGTCACATCCATAGATGACACGGCGAGCTTCGGCTTGTATCATCTGATCTGACGGAACAATGCCAAGTGCCTTTTGTTTATGGATGTATGTAGTGAGTTCAAGAGAAAGCCGATGGTAACAATTGATATCGGTAGGGACAGGTAGACGAAGGTTGGTACCTTCTCCCTTGGTTTGCTCAGTGGCCCATGGATCAGGGGACCGCCATTCATAGTCTATCATGTATGGCGGAATGGCATTTTCAACACGAGCTTGAATCTGCGGGTCAAAGCCCCAATCCCCTTGCCATTGAGCCATGGCTGCTCCATTTTTGAAATGACTCGCCAAATGGTCCACTCGATCTTTCCATGTTTGGAAAATAGAGCCACAGAACCCACAGCGGGATTTGATATCTGTATTACTGCTTTGCCATTTCTCCATGCAGGGTTGGAACTTGGCGTTGTGCATCAAGCGGAGGTGTTGATTGAGATGATCCTTCCGGTAAAATGTCCTCTCTTGCACTGTCTTCTCTTGGCAACTGATGAAGTTATGAGTTTCTAGGTGTTCATCGTCTGGATTAGCTGCCAAGCAGAAGACACAAAGAGGTATACCGTTTTGTTCAATTGAACCACCGTGAGGTGAGCAAGTCCATTTATCTAAGACTAGATGTATGGACTTCTCGTGCCGCTGCCAGTCATACTTCGCAGGGAAAGAGTCGGTGCAGAAGGTACATTGATAAGGACGAGCAGATTTGGCCTTTGAATGAGCCAGTGTGTTGACAGGTACCGAGGCCTTGCGCCGACGGCGACGTTCTTTGCGGTCCATTGAGCCAAAGGAAATAGAGGAGCGATGAGAGAAGGCAGAAGCAAAAGATAAGTCTGAGATAGATGAATCTAAACTACTGGCAGAGGCGGTGCACAGTTTATGTTCAGAGCTGGCATGGCTTGACTCATTGTTGCTTGACCCAGGGCGACGGGTCCTCACGTGACTTGATGGGGCCCGACGTAGACGCGAGGGATCGAATGGAGGATTGGCCAGGGCACGGTTAATATCGCTGATGGTAGCGGGTTCGTTTTCAGGGGGAGAGTACTTCCAACGCTCAAGGGGCGTCATGAGGGATACGTTGACGGATTGCTTCCCGGGAATGTCCACAGCCCCTGGGACAGGAGAACTGCTTCCAGGTGACGAACGAACTTTGCCGCGTCGCCTGGCATTGGCGAGCCAATTGACAATTTGAGTTCGGGTTAGGCCAGTGTGTTGTTTCAGGTCATTTTTCTCTTGTTCGGTAGGGTACGGGTTGTCGTTGTGCTCTCTCAGCCAGCCCTTTAGAATACTAGTTGCCTTGCGCGAGAATCGAGCACCGCTTTTTTGAGAGCGTGAATCTGGGTCATTGGGATATGTGTTGTATGAAACTGATTTGAGGGCTTTCTTTCCTGTCAGGCTGCCAATAGGAACGTGGGCATTCTCTGACACGCTATGTAATGTCTGGAGGAACTTGCCAGGCGTTTTGGCATGAGTGAAACTGCATTCACGATAAAGAGAGATACAGCAAGTACAGCCATAGTTTAATGTACCACGTTTTGCGACGAAACAATCCAGTCCCATTCGCCGGCAAAAGTCGCACGGGTCTTGGGCCCGGAACATGGGGTAAACCCCGTCGGGGTCGACGGGGTCAATGGCTTGTCCGATATTGAATTCGGACTGCTCCGGTACCGGATCATTGGAAAACTCCATTGTTTGATCATGAACCAGCGAGTCGAAGTTTGCTGCCTGTTCTTCGGCTTCGTCAAGTTCAATATCAATCGAAGAGGCATCATCCTCTAGTTGATTGGAGCCATGGGCAGATGAGGCGCCTTCGAAATCAAAATACTCCATGTTGGGAACGATTTCAATAGGAAATGCTGCGCGGAGGACAGCTTTTCAGAACCAACAGGACGATAGAACGATAAAGGACACGGTGGAATGCAGGGGGAAGAATCGGTCAGATGAAAATTGGCCGAAACGACCTTGGTCCGGGGTACGGAGTAGAAAGGTAGGTGAATAATCAATTAGGGTGGAGCTCCGTGACCTTGGAACCACAGGTGGGCACCATTCAGCCGCTGAATTTCTCGGTGACTCGGCATGGAGCGCTCACAGGCAAACCCCGTGTGGCTTTTCACGATAAGCATCGTCGTCACGAGCAAGTATGGCACACCACATGGTCGCGTATCCACTGCATATCTCAAGAAGTTGATTTGAGAAAGTCCACACAAAGTAAATGAGGGGCTTGGAGTGGATGATCCAACAAAATGGAGCAAAAGGGAATGCATCGGCGCGCCCTTTGAATGACAACGCTAAGCCTATCACGGTTAAGCTCAGTAAATGTGGAGACTTGCCAAGCCCCGGTGATTCACCTCTCTGGCTCCGCGATATCGGACGTTCGTTCGTCTTGTATATATCGGTATGTAAAAAGTGATATTTCTACGAGACCACGCGAGATACATATTAAGTGACTTACTCTTCCCAGAGGCCCACGGTCGGAATTTCCATAAATATTCGCAAACGAATGGAATGCCACCAATCACACGCTATGATAAAGATCCCGTCCACCGGCGTAAATCAACCATGTAGTTGAATTATCACATTATATTTGTTCATTGTCGGTATACGAACAACACTTATCGGAACCATAGCAGTGTAATTTTTAGCGCTATTTGCTGCTGAGCCGACGATTTGTCATGGACAAGCATTCATGTGATTGTGGTTGATATATATATTGGTCTTGGGCATATCAGAGCATGGGCTCTGATATAATGGTCCTTTGGCCGAATTGGAAAATGTGCGCCCAGGCATATCCTTTACACGATTTGATTCCAAGTAGACTTCCGCACAGCCTAACTTTAGGCCCAAGGTCCGGGCTCGAAACTGTATAAAACTATAGTCTTAGCGTTCATAAAGTGGCCAAATCACCCAAATAGATAATCGTATCTTACCTATATTTTAGTTTATATATATATTCTCCTCTATTCTTATAATTAGGAATTGGAAATATTTAGAAGTTCGAATCGATTAATATACTATTATTAGTTTCTAGCTATTACTAGATATAGTGAGATATAGCTAATTGTATCTATATACTACTAGTTATATATAGGAATAAAGCCTTATAAGCGCCTAGTGTAGAGCCTTCTTTTTTAGATGATCAGATATAGAAGAGCGTCGAGGGTGAAAAGTGTACATGCAATGGGGTACGGATGAAAGCGTTTGTCGTCTCCCAGATAAAGGTAAAGTGCAAGCTTCAAGAAAGTTGTTCTGCAGTAATTGGCAGAATCTTCGTTCAACTTCTTGTAGTCTTGACGCGTAGAGTTGTTGCGTTGTTTCGTATGGAATTATTTTGTTACCTCAATGAGGAGAAGTGAATAGTATTCAACCAATAATAATTGAACCATGATAGTGGATATGATTAGTTAGGCTCCCCTTCTTTCAATATGTCAAGACGCAACGTACAGTATGGGTGAATGCGGTCCATTTCATCTAATGAAGTGGAATATATGCTCTTAACCTCACATATTGTATACATCAGTGATCAAATTGAAACCCAAAGAGTCCTACCTACCTTACATGAAGTGAATGGCAGCTTAAAGAGGTGCTAAAGTAGCCCTGCTGCTCCCGAGAACTAACACCATGGTTCCAGGGGTCTTAGGACTCTCACGAATAACCCCCATTTTCTTAGGAACGGAGATATTAGTTCTTGAGAATGGCCAGATGGATTCCTATTGATGCGTTGTCACTGTATCACGGTAAAACTGCTGCTATCTGTGAAATTCGAAGTACGGGCATAGCCAATAGAGTACTTGAGAGTGTGGTTTTTATATACTATCGAAAGCGCAGAATCAATAGAGAATGAGTTTAGTAAGGTCGTTGGGAGCCTTCCGAACGAAATGGTTGAAATCAGGCATATGGTACTGATGAATAATTCACGGGCGCGCTACCTAGTAAAAGTGCGACCCTGTTTCATCGACAAAAGCACCTCGCTATATATTACACCTCAACCTCAAGCAAAGATAGACCGGCTTCCCAAAACAATCTGCAATTGCTCTACACATCCGTGTCGGGGAAGCAGGCAATAGGTATCCCAAAATGCAATGTCAACATTATATCATCACATCATCTCCCTTCGGGTGTTGGTCGTCAATTCTGACCCAGGCGGTGGCGCGAAAAGCTCCTGCGGCACTGGCTTAGCCTTCATGTAGGAGCTGCCATCTGGTGCTTGATCCCGACTTCCAGTCATCTCTTGCGGTGATGACCGTTGTCGCCGTCGGAAAAGAAGGAACCCAAACGCAGACAGCACCATCAGTCCAGCGACACTCACGCCAGCGCCAATTCCTGCTTTCGCGCCAGTCGAGAGACTACCCGTATCAGATAATGCAGCTTCCGAGGTTGGAGTAGTGGTCGGGGTCGATGAGGACGCCGTGGTAGATGAGGACGCCGGGATAGATGAGGATCTCGTCTCATTGGACTCCACGTAGAACCCCGGGGAGTATAATCGAGGCTTAGAGGGAGCAAAGCTTTCCCCGGTTGGTTTAAAAGTGAGCCCGTACTCGTTGGTTTTTGATAGCGCTTCCTCATCAATGGCAACTTTCCAATTGAAAGTTCCTGAGTACGAAACATCTATCGTGCTAGCTATTCCGCAATACTGTCAGTCTAGCCTCTCATGATTTGTGTTTGGGGATCACGTACTTGAAATCTTCTTGGACCATGTGGAGACATTGATGTTCCATGCATTCACCCACAGATCGGCTTTGCTCGTGCCGTTCATATCTTCATTCAAGAAAGAAGAATCCCAGCCAGACCAGTCAATGGTTATTGTAGACCCAATGTAATAAGTAGTAACGAAGTCCTTATTGTTTCCGCTGGGCGTTCTCCATACATTTCGGGCTAACTTACTTTGAGCCACCTGGGACACCGAGATCAAGAGCAGCGATATCCACGCCAGGTTGGCCATGACGAATAGCAGAAATAGGAGCTCCCCGTTACCCCACAACAAATAGAATGATGTTGTTTCAAACCTGAAGATTCCGAGAAAGAAAAGCGGAGGGACCAGACCTTGGGGAGGTTTGTTTTGGGGGTTAGAAAAGTAAACATTCCCCCGAGGCCCAACCCCTGAGAGGTGCGAGATACCTAGGTATCTCTATGCACGGCCCATACATCATGCCAAGTTATTTGTGCACCAAAATGCCAGAAACGATTCAAAAGCCCTTCATCTCTTTTGCACCATCTTCAAAGTGGTACATGTCACCCTGGCATGAACAGGAGCAAACTTAATAGCATCATATGCGCATGAGATACCGATCAGATAATCTCCAGCCATGGTCAGCCACAAATCAAAGCCTCGGACGACACTATCAGTACATGCTCAGATAGAAGTACCGAGTCTCAAATTATCTACACTCCAAGCAGCACAGTAGAACTTCTCTTCGGAATAGGATACTCCACTGATTTAGTACTTTGTACCTGACATCTCATTCCATACCAATTTAGTAATCAAATTTTATGAAGCTACATGCGAGTGGGAACCAATCCATCCACAACACATATTCAAAATCGCGGATGTGGGGGCAAGAATCTGCTAATGCTTTTGCGGTGTGACTACATGTTATCGACTACGGTGTAGGGGTACATGTTATCGTCTCGCGCCTGTTCTCTTATATGTTGTACTACGTAGTATGGAGTACATCGAGTCAGTTTCGCGACGATCATACCCTGGATCGACTCTGATAGGCCAGGGCGTATTTCCCATGTCAGCCCCATTCTTGGCGCTACCGATCGACGCAGTCGAGAGCCGATGAATCTAGTACTGTATTTGGGAGCCCCGCCTCAAGCACTAGCAGCCATCCTACAACTAGCCCCCGAGCCAAGCTTATGTACAACGCCGATGCCTAGAATAGTTTTAACAACCCTTTCTTTTCCTGACCGGGGTCCATACACGCAAGGCAGAATCACCTCGCCCCCACCCTTAGTGCCAAGCTAGGTCTTTGTTGCGACATGAAATTGAATGTGATCTGCCGATCCCCCCAATCCTCCTGTGCGAGACACTTATGGCATCTTTTTATTCTGCATGCCACCCCTGCAGGATCAGCAATCTAGGAGACCCTCAAGTATCCCAAAAAGTTTTGTTTAGCACCAATGGAGATGTCTGCTATCACCAAAGAACAATCACTCAAGTGGCGCATGTTGGTATGTGAATGTGTTGTTGGAAGATGCTTGTATGTCATTGACTTTTTCCCCACCCATGACTTCCATTCTTCAAATATGACCCGTATGGCGGCCTTCGATACTGCGATACCGTAACTCAACCTTGAATTCCCCAGGCTCAATCTTCACTTTGACCCAGTGGGCTCGAGCGGATTCAGGAATAATATTTTCTGGCTTTACTCCAGTTGACTCTATATCAATCAGCCTCTTTAAGGCCACAATTGTCGCAGATGCCCAGTAGTCATCTTCTGGTAGTTTGTCCATTAGATAGAAGATATCACGACGGACCTGCCAATCGCGACATTTGGCCGCAGACCATAAGAGTGTAGGCAAAACAGAGTACCTGTAGCTAAACGGCGAAATCGCGATATCACTAAAACCTGTGGCCGAGTCTGCTAGGGTTCGTGCAGTTTTGGTGATATTCTGAAACCGATCCAGGTGATCATCGTAAACCATCTCATCTGGTCGTTGGCTTCTAGCGATAGCCAGCTTAATTTCAATGACATCGATCAATAATGAGAAGACCTTGAGTGAATCGCAGTCCTCTGGCGTAAGGCTATTCAATTCGACGAGGACGGCTAGAAGATGACTTTTACAGAGCCGAAGCTTAGTTAAAATTAGTGCCGCGCTACGGCCGATAGCGTTTGCTGGTCCAATATCAAACCCGTAGGTAGTGTAGTCCAGTATCAATCCCGAGACGGCAGTTGAGAATTTTTGGATAAGGTCCATCTGACTAATACCCGAATAGAGAGGTGGGGTAATCTTTGATAGGGCGGCTGTGCTCTTTGGAAATGACCGATATCCGCTATTGAGCTGCTCGGAATCCTCAACAAATAACGCGGCATAAGAGCAAAAGGACCAGTAAACGTGCATCTGAGAAAAAGCCTGTCTCATGGCTAAACGAGTAGCATCGTTATCTTGCTGATCATCCCAACGTTTGAAAAGTTTATAACCGGATGTAAGGTGATGACGAGCAGAATAGAGATCTCCCTGGAATAAAGCAAGGAGAGTAAAAGTCAAACATGTGACTAACACTACTTGCTGGTGGGTGCTGTTTGCGTTGTAAGGATCTTCCCGAGCGAGACTTTCTCGAAGACAAGAAATGGCTTTCGTAGCGTGCTGAAGAACCAGACTGGGCCCCCGGTCTTCTTTAAATGGAAAGGGTTCCATATGGGTATGCCACGCACTCATAGCGATCGAAGCATGGCGAATAGCAGGGTGATTTTCGCACATTTGTAAAAGCAATCCCTGCCAGAATGAGTTTTGAAAGTAATGCGAAAATCGGACTGCAGTGCGGTGGTGGTAGAAATCTAGATACCACAGCTCGTTCCGATTAAGGTCGATCTGGCAGGCACTGGACAAAGGCAGAGGAATAGTCGTTATCAATGCGCGAACTTTTTCGAAACATTGGATTTGTAGAGCTACATTGTTCTGATCTTTGGTTCTGGATTCACGCCACTCGCGTGTTCTCTTGTCAATGGCTTGTTCATAACCTTCGCATTGACTGCCTGTCTTCGTACATCTGAGACAAGCGGGACGTCTTTCGTCACATTTCTTATGTCGTATCCTTTACAACGCTTAGTTGCTATACGAGATCAAATTTTGGGGCGACTCACTTGCACGTTTTACAGCCTGAGCGAGAATTTGAGTGCTGGGATCTTGTTCTGCGCAGAGCGTGTTGAGACATTTTGCTTGCAAAGAATAGTAGGAGGACTACGGAGTATATCCGGATGATATCCGGATGAGTGGGTTAAACGGACGGAGTTGATCAAACCGCTTGATCGGGACCACGTGATAATAGGTCACATGTGTGACGTGTCATCGTCTTATCGGAAAGGTTTTGCCATCAACGTGCAGAGAAAGATGGTGATAGTTCAGCACCCAGGAATTGCGAATCTCAGTAGCTCTATTGATGATCTGACAGAAAGCTGGTTAGCTCACAGATACACCAAATATAGGCGCGCATCTGTATTCCTACCTGTGAATAATAGGAGAGAGAAGCTCATACGTCCTGCATTGACCATCTGAGTAACTAGCTGCGAAGAGGGAGAGAAAGGAGGGGGAGAGCTGGTCCGCCTACTATATCACGAAGAGGTGCTGATGCCTGAAGTATCCACAATATGTCAATTCAAGTGGTACTGTGAAATGTATGGGTCCAATCGATGGTGTTAAATTCTCTATATCACAGTATCCGCTTTCCTAACAATTTACACCTAATGTATTCCACATGCGAGCTGCGCACACAAACGAGTTGCCCAGTCCAAAACACATACTCCGTAGTAAATCCGATATATTACTATTAGATATTCCAACAACGATTATCTACATGAAAATGTCCTTCTAGTATAGTGCTTTATATATAATATCTAGCCGTAATATAGATTTTAAGGGAATTCAATAAAGTAATGATAGAGATATACATATCTCGGGGGTTCAGTGACCTATTTTTCAATACGACAGCAATGTAAGGTTTTTAACAGTTCAAATTTGATATCTATTCCTAGAGAAGCTTATCAATGGTTATCGGCAAATGAAAGAATATTCAAAATACGTTAGTTATTGACATGTAAGTGTAGCGTATATCGTATTTACCATAGTGTTGCCGCTACACAACTCGCTTGTGTGTGCAGCTCGCATGTGAAATACGTTATGGGCTACGGATTACTGATTCAAAAGTACTAGTTAACTAACTAAACAACCTATATTAATCAACCCTACGGAGTAGACTTCGGCAGAACCCATTTTATAACCCATTCTTAGCATGCCAAGGACCCATCAGAACCCATCAGAACCTGTCAGGTAATGAATGAGTCACCTGATTTTATCTAACCGCCTAAGTAGTATTACTATCCAATAGCTAGATAGGAATGAAGATCATCCTTTCTATACTTCCCTTGACGATGGTAGCATGTCTAACAACGACACTCTAAAGAAAATAAAGGTCATTTCATCGATTACTATCAAAATAATCTCTTTCTAAATCATATTGTGATTCAGAAAGGATAGCATGAGTTCTATTCGTAGAAGGATCTATCGACTATATATAGGTTCGTACGCGCCTGTAGATAGACTACTATGGCAGGGAGTAGTCACATGTGGGTCTGTATAGGGGTCTAAAGTCCCCAGAGATATAAGTCTCATGTTTGAAATGAGCTTTCAGGATCTCATACGATCAGATAGTTCCGTAGTGCGTTCTATACGAGGGACCTTATAAATCGATAAGTAGAAATTGTCGGAGACTCTATCCACTACGAAATGAATAAAAGTATCGAAATTATATGTTGTTGGATACCACAGGCATCCATGCATGATATAGATCAAACATGCATGATATGGCATCATGTTTGGCAATATAAATAGGGTCTCAGGATCCTATTCATAATTGCTTTCTCTTTTCTCTCTCTCTCAGTCTTGCTTCTAGATAGAGATTATCATCATCTTCTCTGTCATCATATGTTAAATCCGGTGGAATAGGGAGTAGTCCATAACAGTTTATTGAACAATAAAGATATACGTGGCGTAGTGGTATTAGCGATTTAGGAAACCCAAGCGAGGAGAATCCAAGGCCGGCCCTCAAAGACTCTAATAGGACACCGCAAATAGACCAAGGTAGTTCTCTACACCTAGAGGGAGGGCCGATAGGTAACCGTGAGCATGCTTTGGATCAACAAGTACGTGAGAGCGGAGCAGGTGCCAATCCAGTCGCCGGATCTGACCGCGACGGTCATCTGCATCCCCGAGCGTCCAAAGTGACACATGTATACCGCCAAGAGCATCAGATCTTACTCGTGCGGGTGAAGTATATCATAGCTTAAGGCCCGAGCGTTGTCTAGACATGAAAATAAGGAAACGAAAAAGAAGGGATCTACATATCGGCTACTATAATTTTTTTCCCACCAGGATATCCAGGAAATCGATACATCTCACGTAGTTTGTCAGTTCAACGATTGAGTGTGTGTCCCCATGGCTTCAACATATATAGTAAGAGGAACATAATCCACTCGAGTCAATTTGCATAGGCGTCATACACTCGTAGCTTCAACTATCCAACTAATCAACAGGATTCCACAGAGTGGAGGCTTATCTCAATGCTCGAGACTGAAACAGATGCATGAGAAAGAGCGGTGAAATAATGGCAAACATGTGGATCTACTCCATTGGTTACTCTCGAAGAGCTCTAGGCAGTTGACCAGTAGATTTTTACGGCTCGTAAAGGCTACTCCAAAAAGGAAAAAGGAGTTTTCGAAGCTATGCAAGCAATCTGCGCAGGGATTAATAAGCCAGAAAGCCAATACTCGCCACTTTCTTCAGTATAAAGCCTTCTAATCTTACGTTGCGCTGTTTTCTTATGTGTCTCTATCATTAGCAATGGACAACACATTCTCTGGCCAAGATGCAGACGATGAAGATGAAGGTGGAGACCCAACCTTGTCTCTTGACCTGTTGACTGAACAAATTGTTTACCTTCCCGAACATGGAATATTTCATTCCCTCATGGCTCCCAGCACGACAGGTGGTACCGCACCCCCCGCAGACACCTCATTCGATGACTTTCTACCGATGAATGGCAATTACGGTTTCACGGATGCAGCTATTTTGAATCCCCCAGAATCTACAGAGAACTACATGGATCATCCGTCTCTATAGAGATTTGAACCAGATGTATTCCCTGATGGAGGAGAGGGGTTTCAAGAACTTTTTGAAAGAATGGCATCGACTGAGGATTCTTGTCAAGGCAGAGCCCCAGAGGAAAGCGTGTTAGAGTCGCCGGTCTCAGCGCCTCGAAAAGTGATCAAATTTGAAGAAGCAGAGATGCCTTCACTAGACCATACGACATTGTTTTCCGATGGAGTGTATCGTTGTCGGTATTTGAATTGCGAATGGAAAACAGGCGAAGATAAAAAACATCTTCTAAGGTACCTTCTGTGTCTATAATGAACACAATGCAGTATCTAATATTTCTAGGAAACACGTTCGGAGACACGTCAAACCTGTCAGATGTCCACAAGCTTTCTGTGATTATCGGACAGCTGAACAAACGGATATGCACCGACATGTCATAACAAATCATAAGCCATGGGCTATAGAGCATCTTGAGATTATAAAAAGGTTTACTTGCGACAAATGTGGCTCGTCTTTTACTCGCAACGATAATCTCCAAAGGCACCAGAAGAAGGCGTGCAAGGGGTAATGCAGAAATGCATAACACTTGAGCTGTATTTGGAAATTTGACAATCATCGTGCCCAAGAAAAGAGAGCAATACAAAAATATGTAGACAAAATTAGAAGCCATCCGCTTTAAACGAGCGGTTTTATAGTTGCCCTCAATGCATCCAGGCCTGAATGGAAACGCCTCCGCCCTCATCATCCGATTCTTCCTTGTGATGAGTCACAAATCCAGGGCCAATCGGTGGTCCACCTCTGGCTTGATCTTTCAATTGTTGATTCTGTTTTTTAATGGGGATATCTTTACTCATAACTATCGAGCTCCTTTCCGAAACGTTGATAGGTGCTGGGGTGTAGCCGAGGGGATGGAGATACGTAATTTCTGTTCTTGAATCAGGACGTCTCTGGCCAACTGAGGATTGTCCAAGGGCTTGACTGATGACAAGATTGCGAATCTCGTGAACCATTTTGTTCAGTATATGTAATTGCTGCCTTCCTGCCCCGTGGTACTTCGAGAAGTTCTCCACCAGAGGCGGCCCCCAGTTTGTCCACACATTTCGATGCGATTCAGGGACAATCATTCGTGCCGGGTGGTGTTTGAAATACAGTTCGCAACATAAACAGGCCGCCTTACTGCAAGCGACAAAACGATCATTTTCGGCGAATTGTATTTGATATCGATGAAAATGCTCAAGTATCTGGACCTCTGCATGAATTCGTGGCTTTAGATTCCGATATTCGCCCGGAAATCTATCGAAGATTCGATTCACAGCGTTGATTTTTGACAGTCCATGTTCAATGTCGAGTCGCTCGTGGTCTCCCTTCAGTAACATACGGTTGAGGATTCCGTCCAGATTCGTATGTCTGTCGGGTGCGGGAGGTGGCACCGGTGCTATGTGATCCACAGTGGACACTTCACAACTTTCTAGTATTTGGCTCACTTCAGTGACAGCTTCAACAAGGTCTTTTGATGCTCGGATATGATGCGCTAGCCGTCCGATGTAATGTATCACAAGCTCAAAGGGATCGCATTCTATGTCTGGGCTGAGCAAGTTCTCTTGCCGTATAGACCTCAGCCATGAGAGAGTGGGAGAATGCCTGGTTTCGTACGCAAACGTGCAAAGTGTGAGATTATCATCATGACTCAGGAGTGATCTGAACCACTTGCGTGAACTTTCGGCTATGAAGACATTAGTATCGGCAATATTATAACGCTTTACTGGCGTTGCACACCTTCAATTGTAGCTGAATGGGAAAGCTTTCGGCTACAAGCATCCACGGCCCTGAACAAGCAGTTCTTTTCCTTTTTGATGCGCTTTTCCGCAAATTCAACACAAAACTTCACAAATTCTGCTTCCTTTTGAGGTAGCTCCGATTCTGTAACCTCATTAAATTTGTACAGTAGCCCAAGGACAGCCTTGAGAAACTCGGCTATTTTAGCTTGTCCTTTATTCGAAGCGACGTATCACCGATAGCATGTACCGAGATCTGCAAGTCCAATTGCGGTGCAGGTCTCTCCGCCTTTTTCAAAGTCACAAATGTAGGAAAGATTCCGCAAGAACTCCCGACGCTTAGCTTGGCCTGCATTTACATCGTGCGGTTTCGGCTGGTGGTTCCCACGGCTCTGTCTAAGTAATCGCAACAGCACCAGTGGTTCATAAAACCTGCTGAGAACCTTGTGATACGGGTCCAACCTCGGGCTACCGACGGTTTTGGGTTTGATTTCAAGTGTTGATGGAAAGATCTTATACCCGGTCGATCTGGCTTCGCGAGGATCCATAGTGATCGGATTATCGCAATATGCTGTCTTCGAAAGAAACAACCAAAAACATGAAAATGCGAGAATAGAAAAGTGAGTGCTGCCACGAATGTTGTTTTTATTCCGTGGTTTGGATAATAACATAAGCCACGCGTAACTTGAGATAGAGTGGCGGCACGCGGAAGGCTATATACATAGTAGGTTTGAGAGGGGTACTTTTCGCTCGGCCAACGCATGAGTCGAGGTCTTTGACGGACTAATAGAAAGGGCCGATAATAATCATGTGGGAGGCATGCAGGAGGCAGACCAGATGATGCAGGAGGCAGAATTGAATATGCGAGAGGCAGAATTGGCTATGCAGGAGGCAGACCAGACCATGTGCCTTGAGTCAGAAAGCCCTTTTTCTAAGGTTGTATATTCATGCCATGACGAAAACCCCCGTTCAAAACACTTGAAATAAATACGGAAAAGATTTGGGACACTTGCACACGAGCCCGCATATCCGGTTATCAATTATCAATTATCATGACATAACAATAGCAATTGAACGTACAGCATAACCTTCATGGCCCCTGGTCTCGACTTACAATAGGTGCGTTAGTCACTGAAACGGAAGCAGTCATTAGTACTTGACCACATGGTCAATTTTACCACTGTTTGAGTCCCTCTAATATCTAGGAAAAACATTCAATTAGCTATTGTACTACAACTTGGTGAGTCCGCAACTTATGGTCCGCTTGTGGCTGACTGCTCGATTGTCCCAAAATGGATATTAGCTTATTTTTAATGCGGGAGCCTCATTATGCATTACGAAGGAGGCCTGTCATGCAAGAAATTTATCGTGTAAGGGAATCTCATTGGGTCCTATCTTGCAGTGGAAAACCCAGGGTTGTTGGGCAGTATGTGCCCTGATCATACTGTGTCTCGCTCCTTTTCGATCAAGCCACGAAACAATGATACGCTTTTTTTTTATTAAAGGGCCGTGGAGTCACTGTTCTCAGCGGGCCTTCATGGACTGATCATAGGTTGAGAAATTTGTGGTAGAAGACTTATGGAACACCTTCAATGCCATATGAGCGTTGGATTGAAGCTGAATTCCATACAAAACGGAAACTGCGACGATGATCACAATTTTTATCATAGATCGACAATAGTCAACATAATAGCGGAAGTCTCCATAGGGGGTTTGCTTAGCCCCTTCTGTCAGAGTGATGAGTTCCACCTATGGGAGAGCCGAGACGGAATGATAAGCACCACTCACATTGTATGTTTCAATCTTCTGCTCGTGCAGATTGTGGTAGAAAGCATCATGCAAGGCCCTGTTCAGTGAAAATCAAAGGCTATACTGCTTTCTACAGGAAGGATTCAGCTTCTTGATATTTAAAGGTGTTCCCATGTTCATGAGCGTCTCTTTGGCATCTCCTCGCAACCCAACAAAGCGTACATTGGTCCCAAAACTCGGTTCCCTGGCATTCAGTCAAACGCCAACGGCATTCGCTCCCCTCTCAACCTCTACTTCGTCATGGAGGGTTCTCTTGCATCCAAGTCAATGACGCTAGAGGAGACATTGTACCTCTTCCACCACATATTTCTCCCACCAAAGGTTCCCCAAGCAGAAGATTACAACGTGCCAAAAGAACATTGTCTCCTCGAGAGCGTTGTTGATGCTCTTCGCAGCTTCAGCGATTACGTTCCGACTGCAGATACTACTATCGTATGTAAGGCCACTGAGATGGTTTCTCGCCTAAGAAAAACGTACAGCCCTCATGGGTACGTTGATGAAAGGCAGCTCGAATTTAGTCTGGCAGAACTACCAGCTCGGGGTAAGAATTGCAAAACGCAAATAATGGTGCTCATTTCTAACTAGGCTGTAGGCGGATTCCTCCCAATTCATGTTCGCGAGCAAAATGCAGGAATCCTCCTTTACTGGCATAACGACGCGGTACACATCGAATCGTTTGAGTTGTCAGCTCGCAATGAAGCCGTTATAGCAACATTGGGACGGCTGCGCCGTGCTTTCCCGGGTCCGACCATGGTTATGAATAGGGCAACTTTCGAGGAACCTGGGTTCCAAGCAGTCCTGGCGCAAACAATTTCGAGAATGAGTCACCAGCCCGTTGCAGGAACCAAGCCAAGAGTCAAGAAAGCTAGACAGGAGCACGATGAGACTAGGGACACCACGCATCCTAAAATGGTGACAGAGCTTCTCATGTCGACTATTCGTCCTCGATGCACCGACATCGCGTCTGTACAGATTCAGAAGAACACTCGCGAGGAAGTAATGTGGCGTGATTGCCAATCGCCGTGGCGCCGATCTGCATTATGGCTCCTGGTACGCGTGACACTGCAGCTAGTGTTTCGCAGACTGTCTACAGAAGGGAGCTTGGACGATCTGTACAAACAATTCATGGTCTTCTTCATGACCTCGATAGTTGACAGAGCTCCAATTGCAGTACCTTCCGAGACTCTCTTTCTTATGAATGCCAAGATTGTTCGCCGACTGCTGAAGCTTGACTTGGCGGTTGTGCCTGCCTGGTTCACCTCAGTTCAAGAAATCTTGAGTCGTACAAGCAGCGCAGTTCAAGACCAGTGGACTCATATTAGGAGAAAAAATCGCCATTGTGTCGACCTGCCATTGCTGCATGATTTGAACTTCCGTCAAGATATTCAATATGCGCTCCCCTGCCTTGACCGCTACCTCGAAAGCATAGAAAATCGAAGCAACCAACGCCCGTGCAGAGAAAATTTCCAGCCGCAACCGAAGTTCATCAAATACCAACGAAAAGAGCTTCCAAATCACCTCGATTCACACGATTCTAATTATCAAGCGTACAACCTTGCTGCCTTTGAGGATTGGGTTGCTTCGGATCTCAATGCATGGCTGGAAATTCATCAGAGCGAGGAAGCAACCTGTGGTCAACTTTCTGCTTTGATGGTTCGATACTTCGAGAAAGCGTCTTCGTCATATGCAGACAACCCCGAAGCCACATCAGTCATGCTCCTTACCCTCTTAGAGCTGTGGATTGCCTGCGACAAATCCGCGATTCACCTACATGAGACCTTGAGAGACTATGACGCATGTATACCAGTTGACTGCTTTCAATCACTTTTGCTGCCTTTTCGAACGCACATGGAGAGGCTGGCGTGTGCTGAAATGTATCTGAGTCGACGTCGGGCTCGCCTTTACTACCATGGCCCGAAAAATTTCCAAGAATTCGGGACTTCCTCCTGCTTCGCTGTTCGATACTTCGAGCAGTCCCACAAACATCAGCAATTGCTTGCAGCCATTGAAGAAAATGCCACTCAGGAGAGGAAGAAGAAAAAGGCCGAGCTTCGGGAAAAGCAGCAACGTTACCGGGAATTGATGGCATTATCTTCTAAAACACCATGTGAATTTGTCGAAACCATTGTGGATAAGAGACTTGGGCTTCGGGAAAGAGTCCACCGCAGCGATTGCCCTCGAGAGCGTTATCAGAAGCAGGCCGAGTCGATTGAAATCAGCATACATGAGTGGCCTCTGCCGACCGATTGGCTAAGGGCCAAGGCTACTGTCTTCGAACTTCGAGTACCCGAGCCCTTTGGAAGCTGGCGTGACACCACGCTGTTTTTCCTGCATCGGTGTTTGAATATGAAGTATGCTGTGGAAGAACAGCCCAGAGCAGAGCATCGTCCACACACATATCGAGGTCTCTCGTCATTCTTCAGCAA